CCAGAACATGTTCTGCTTGCTCTGGCCTAGAGGCTGGAGCAGACCGAGCAGTTTCACTTGTTCACAGTGAAACCTGGCGGGAACATCGCCTTTGGTCCCAAATGATCACGTACATAAGCTTTTCGGTTGCACTTGGCATGTATTCGTAGTACCGTACAAAGTGACCATAGTGATTTGTACACATTTTGAAGAATGCAACAAGGTTTGCCACACTTTTCACAAAAATGTGCTGTTTCTGGAAGAGAGTTTGAGCTGGCATGAGGCTGCTCCATGTGCACCAGCTGTTTGATCCTGTTCTAGATCGTACCAACCAAAAGCGCCCTAAGTTTCAAAAATTTAAGTATAATTATCAAAGTGTGGGGAGCAAACACTTTCCTATCTCTTTTAAACTAAAATTTTTGAAATTCAGGGCTCACAGTAGGCATGCAGGATCGACAAAAGCGTCGTGCGAGGGCAGGTTTGGTGCACGTGAGTCGCGTGACCCCACGAGAGCACAGATCGTGTACATCCTACGCATCCCAACAGAACAAAGAAGAGAAAGAACCTTGGTTTGAGTTGTAGCCTGTTCTTGTCTTGTAGAACCGATGTTCGCGATATTTTGGTCAGACCTGTCCTTTCCTCGCTTCTCTTGGCATGCAGTGTCAAACCATTCTCGTTTCCGTTCGTCTCGATCTTGTGCTTTTACGATCGTGCATACTCCAGTGGAAATAGTTTGCTTTATTATTTGCACTGGGAATTGCACCGCAACACTGAACAGTTACTGCCAGCCCTCGGCAACTACTTGCCTTTCACTGTGCCTTGTAGAATTGGTCCACCGAAGGAGAAGGCGAAAGGCAACCTGCGCTAGTCCCAGGAAATACATGTCATGTAGCCGCTGTTCGACCAAATGCTGATGCTACAATGAGCGACCGCGAAGTTCCACAGGTAAGAAGACAAACAAACGAGTCAGAGCTCGCCAGGCATGTAACGCCGAAACAGTTACTGCCAGCCCTCGGCAACTACTTGCCTTTCACTGTGCCTTGTAGAATTGGTCCACCGAAGGAGAAGGCGAAAGGCAACCTGCGCTAGTCCCAGGAAATACATGTCATGTAGCCGCTGTTCGACCAAATGCTGATGCTACAATGAGCGACCGCGAAGTTCCACAGGTAAGAAGACAAACAAACGAGTCAGAGCTCGCCAGGCATGTAACGCCGAGAACATACCACGCGGAGCTGCTGATCGGATGGAGGTGAATGGGACCAGCAAATCCGCCAGGCGTTAGTTGAGGGCCACTAAAGACCAGGTTTCCAGAGCTACCAGTTCCTCCATGATGGCGAAATGTGCTGCCACAAGAACTCCAGCGAGAACGAAAGCACAGCAACCAGCTCCGCGGGCGAACTGAGGAGAGAACACTGAAAAACCTGTGCGCAATGATTTTCTCTTCGACGGCACGCGTTGCTGTTCCGCTGCATGCATGCGTTCTTCTTGTTGTTTGATCTTCACACATTTTTGCGCAAGAGGTTGCGCGCCGCTGGAACCCGGGGTTACTAAAATCAGTAGAGAGCATCTCCCCCTTGGTCGATTTGGAAAATCTGTGGCTTAAAATTTTCAGGAGACGTCCCTGGCAAAGAAATTTACCGAGACGTTTTGGATACTCCTTTCCAATAAGCCCATTGCGCATTGCCAAATATGGAAGGCATGAGTAATGCATGTGAGTACACTGGGATCAGGAATGCACTGTTCAACACCCCAGACGACCATGCCCAGGTGGCTGTCTGGGGTGTTTATGGTACAAATTACGTCATTGCGCAATGGGCTTATAGTATTATACTGTACTATATCTCACGAAGTTTACGCATATGCTCTGGCATACCCGTGTGAGTAATGAAAATTTGTTTCGGTAAATCTTTGGGAACACATGTTGTCTGTGCCTGGGCCAAGTCCCAGCCTCGTAGAACCTAGCTGAAGTGCTGCTAACTCCTTCAAACACCCCCTACTTCGAGCAAAAATGCGACGAAATGCTGACTGCTAATTGGTCAAGCTGGCATTTTGGAGCACGTGCGCCACCCCCATCTAATCGACGCTTTTCTACGCAACTGTGAGCCCTGAAATTGTACACAAACACCCTCGGGCGCACCACCACCACTGCGCTAATACCGAGAAGGCACAACATCCAGTAAATTACTATTTCTATACCCAACATCCAGTAAAGTACTATTTCTATATACTAGGGGTGAAACGAGTACTGTAATTTCACAAATTTTCGGTGTACTTTTATTTTCGGTACTTTCGGTGCATCTGTTTCATACCTAAAATTTCAATACACCGAACAAACACTAACACACATAATCAATAAGGAAGTGCTTCTCTGTACCGAAAATGTCTGTTCACCTAACCTGGCCTTTTGCCCTCACACCGAAAATATTGCGCACCGAAAATTTCTGAAATTAGAGTATCTATTTTGACCAATCGATCACTCTTTCTCAAGGTTTGGAGACTCCACTGTAGCCAATACTTGAATCCATACATCCTGTACACACACCTTGTACACACTCTCTCTAACGGTCTCTAGGCTACACTGCAATTGATATACATAAGATCAAATTTTCGGGCAAGGCCCATCATCAGGAATAAGTCTTATTCCTGATCATGGGCCTTGCCCGAAAATTTGATCTTATGTATATCAATTGCAGTGTAGCCTAGAGACCGTTAGAGAGAGTGTGTACAAGGTGTGTGTACAGGATGTATGAATCGATCACTCATTCATAATATTCGATCGAGTATCCGATTATTTCGAGTATTTTATCAAAATTCAAAAGCGCTCGATTTGTGAGTTCTCGACCAATCCGGAAGAAATTATCTGTGAACATAGAACAAAAGTCGCCAACGTATACAGAGTGTAAAGTGACGATTTTCACCAGTACTTTCAAACTAACGTTACTTGCCGTGGTGATCGCATCGTCCAAGTCAAAAAATACTGACTCAAAGGCATGCAAACGCATGCATACCAGTCGATGAGCGGTACAACAGAAGGTTTTGAAAAATAGAATGCCAATTCTAAAAAAACTAAAAAAACGGTCGAGTGCAAAATTTCGAATACTCGCTCGTTTGAAATTTTCGAACGAATACTCGAATATTCGAACTAATCGTTTCACCCCAACTATATACCCAACATCCAGTAAGGTACTATTTCTATACACCCAACATCCAGTAAGGGGCCTTCCGTAAATACCGATATCTATTTAGATACGAAAACTAGTCGTTTCTCTTCAACCCCCCTCCCCTCCCTGAGAAACGAACACATACAAATGCTACATAGTAAGGACGTTTAGCAATGCGAAAATTCGAACTTTTGGTGGTGGTGATATTTCGCGAAAATCTATTTCGAAAAAGACAACTTGTGAGGTTTAGCAATGCGAAATGACTTTTTCTCGAAGTTATTTGAAACGTATAGTACCGTACCGTATATGCAGGTCAGTCGCAAGCAGGGGGCTGTAAAATTACTACTCCCTGTAGTCAAATGCGTACCGAGAAAAGAGAAAGTTACTTTCGCAAATCACTGCAGCTTCGCGTCCAAGTTTTCGAAGTTTCGAGCTTTTTTCCTGTACTCATTCCCAGACTCGAATTTTCTTTCGAACTTTCGCGTTGCTAAACATCCTTAGTATCGATATTTTTGGTCTTTTTCTGGACATGCTCACGCATGCAAAATGTACATCGATATTTTTCGACAAACGAACAGGCGCTCAACCCCCTCCCCCTAAACGACTAGTTTTTGTTTCTAAATAAATATCTATACTTACGGATGGCCCCGGAGGTACTATTTCTATATACCCAACATCCAGTAAAGTACTACTTACTCCGTTAGCAAAAACATCGTGATGGATTTTGATGGATATGAAAACGCTTAGAACAAGTCAAGAACAGTTTGTATCGACTGCAAATCACTGAACGAAGGTAGTCCAGCCTATGGACAGCTTTTTTACAAGAGAACTTGTTGGCGGAATGAACAGAGAGTTCCGTTGGCGTCGCTTTCGCTCGACTCATTTTTGACCCTGCGTCGGTGTCATCATCGGTTGTACACGAGTCGTCATCTCTCTCTCGAGTCGTTGTTCAGCTCGTTTCAGCCTTGGCTCGGCTTCTTTGATCACACTCCGCTGAACTTGATGTCGCCGTCGTTCAAGTAAGTTGGCTCTCAAGCTGCGTGATCCGCCGCGGTGGCGATTTCTCGTTTCCACCAGGGAGTCGTAAAAAATATTTTACGACTCCCTGGTTTCATCTCTGCTCTCCAGAACTCCTCGAAACGAGGAGTAAAGGCATAGCCAAACTGATTCCATTTTCTCTGATGAATACACCTGCCAGCACTGAACGGCAGCGGCTACCAAGTCCAGTCGACTTTCCTTAGCCTCGAGACTCGCGTCGGACTGCAGACTTGTGAAAGAATGCATGGTCATCAGCATTCGAATCTGGGCTTTGCGTAGGTTGAACAAGAACTTGGATTCAGAATTATTTCATTGTGCCGTGCGATCGGAGCAGCTCCTTGCTCACTCGCTCATTGTGTGGGCTCGCTGCTCCGTTGCATCGCTCTCTATCGCTCTCTATCGCTCTCTATCGCTCTCTATCGCTCTCTATCGCTCTCTATCGCTCTCTATCACTCTCTATCACTCTCACACTCAGTGCTAGAGTAGTAGAGGCCAAGCAGCGCAACACCCCCCCCCCCCCCCCGGACAAGTGGTATTTCAGTTTCGCTCGCCATGACTGTCATCACCTATGTTGCCACAGCCCAACCATCGATTTCGCACGGCTTGTTGTGAAAGGTCGCTTTCCTTGCATCGTACCTCTTTCATGGCATGCCAGGGAAGGCCGAGAAAGTGATCGCGACTCATTTCACAGCAGTTTGTGCGCACAGCAGTCCCTCAAAAATCCATCACGAAGTTTTTGTTAACGGAGGAAGTATTTCTATATACCCAACATCCAGCAAGGTACTATTTCTATACCCAACATTTCTATTCACCTAACCGTACCTGCTGGTTGGTTTGGTGAACCTGCAGTTTGTCGTGTCAAACGCGATCGAAAACTTGCTTCCTCGGTGTTAGCTAAAGTCTGCACATCAGACACGGCTGAGATAGCGAAATCACGTGACCTCCAATTGGAAAATCTAGCAAAGCGTGGCTGGTAGGAATAGGCCTTGAACATTCCAACATGCAAATCACTTCCAAGGTGATCTCGAATCTAAAACACAAACACACACACACACACGCGCACGCACATGTACACACATGTCAGTATATACAATAGATCGTCGACTACAATACACCATCACATACATGTACATGCACTAAGGGACCATGTGATAGACTGAATCCTCAACAAGGTGATAGACTGAATCCTCAACAACAAAATACTAAGGCCACAACAAAAAGATTTCGTGTTTCCGGTCGGCACCCCCCGAAAAAATACGCCCGGTCGGTCGGAAAAAATTTTTTTTTTGGTTTGAAAGTTTATTTCCCTGCTGTATTCATAGACATGAGCCAAATTGAGAAAGTTTGGATCAGACACTGGTGATACACAATATATACATATTTACACATGGAATATGGAGTAGAATACCACCGCGGGACGCAGTAGATGTATTGCATAGTTCAGAGATTTCTGAGAATTGTATGCAATACCAATGGGTCAGCATCAATAGACGCATAGTACTGACATTGACACAAAAACATGCCTCCACAAAATTGCACGCACACTACATATAGTACTACTAGCTACTAAAGCTACTAAAGCTCGGCTGCCAATAGGCCACATCACTCCCAAAGGAGCCAGAGTCGAGGGCAGGGCAGAAATGGAGATGACAAGTTAGTTAAGTCAGCCAGCAGGCGGAAACGGCGGCTACACACACGCACACACACATACACCCACGTGCATGCACACATACCTCAACAATCACACTCTTACTCAGGCATGCAACAAAAACAATGCACATGCAGGTGAGGGGAGGAAAGGAAAGAGAACTCATGGCAGCTGTCAATAGATCCATTCTACTTCCTATGGTGACGTGTAGGAGCTGGCTTCTGGCAAGTGGCACAAACTGGCAAGACAACCTTGAACTTAGCCACGAGCTCAGGGTCACGCATTGCACTTGCACTTCCACAATGGCAGCAGATGTCTGGCAATTTGTGTGGGCAGGCGTAGTATGCGAATTCCACATGGTCAGCGCATCGCAGGTTTTGCTGCACTGGACACAAAGCGGGCTGCTCTGAGCAGCCATCGTCAGCACTGGACACAAAGCGGGCTGCTCTGAGCAGCCATCGTCAGCACTGGACACAAAGCGGGCTGCTCTGAGCAGCCATCGTCAGCACTGGACACAAAGCGGGCTGCTCTGAGCAGCCATCGTCAGCACTGGACACAAAGCGGGCTGCTCTGAGCAGCCATCGTCAGCACTGGACACAAAGCGGGCTGCTCTGAGCAGCCATCGTCAGCACTGGACACAAAGCGGGCTGCTCTGAGCAGCCATCGTCAACACTGGACACAAAGCGGGCTGCTCTGAGCAGCCATCGTCAGCACTGGACACAAAGCGGGCTGCTCTGAGCAGCCATCGTCAGCACTGGACACAAAGCGGGCTGCTCTGAGCAGCCATCGTCAGCACTGGACACAAAGCGGGCTGCTCTGAGCAGCCATCGTCAGCACTGGACACAAAGCGGGCTGCTCTGAGCAGCCATCGTCAGCACTGGACACAAAGCGGGCTGCTCTGAGCAGCCATCGTCAGCACTGGACACAAAGCGGGCTGCTCTGAGCAGCCATCGTCAGCACTGGACACAAAGCGGGCTGCTCTGAGCAGCCATCGTCAACACTGGACACAAAGCGGGCTGCTCTGAGCAGCCATCGTCAGCACTGGACACAAAGCGGGCTGCTCTGAGCAGCCATCGTCAGCACTGGACACAAAGCGGGCTGCTCTAAGCAGCCATCGTTCTTGGCGACCTTTTCTCCAGCTCCGGAATTTTCGTCTCTGCATTCAGTCAAACTTTTATTTCGGTTCGAGCAAAGCAACACAATGCTTTCAGTGTTTTTGCTTGTTTTTCTTGTTTTTTTTGTACTTGTCGTAAACCAAAAAAATCCATAATTTTTGAAAAAACGGACCCGGTCGGCCGACCGGAAACACGAAATCTTTTTGTTGTGGCCTAACACACATACTGCACACTGAATCCTAAACAACAAAATACAAACAGATATACTGCACACTGAATCCTCAACAACAAAATACTAACACACATACTGTACACTGAATCCTAAACAACAAAATACTAACAGATAAACTGTACACTGAATCCTAAACAACAAAATACAAACAGATATACTGCACACTGAATCCTCAACAAGGTGATAGACTGAATCCTCAACAACAAAATACTAACACACATGTTGTACACTGAATCATCAACAACAAAATTATTATCTTTATTCTCACGGTGGCCGTAGCCAATAAGAGAGAGAGACAGTACTATGTGTTATCAATCAGAGTGGGTGCAATAAACCGGGAGAAACAGTGGCTAGTGGCAGCCGTGGTTTGGGTGCTTCATTTAAGTAAAGACGAGGAGGGAAGTATATCCATTGCGAGGGCAGGTAGGCGATATACCTTGATTAAATTACTATACCTAGGCTGGGCTACAGCGGGGGTTGGAGCATGTGCAAATAGATGATGCTATGATCGGGGTAACTTCTCTTTTGAATGCATTTATTTCTCGGAGGGAGTAACAGTGTGGTGACAGGTGGTTGTACTGAGTGCATGCTGAGTACAAGGGTGAACGTTGAAGGCGGGTGGAGTGGGTGGTGGGGAGGGCAAAGACTCGATGACGCCTCAATTCTCGGCTTGGTGGCTCGGTGATGTAGCCTGAGGTCGCAAGCTGGATGTGTGGCGGGGATCGTTTGACAGCGATGGTGTGTGCAAAGAGTAGCTGCTTGAGCTTCCTGCGGGATGAGAGGGTAGGCCAAGTGACGTGGTGGAGTAACGAACTGTGGTGGCAAGGACTGAAGAGGGGGAGTCGGAGGCAGAGTTTTGCTGACCGCCGTTGGAGACGTTCGAGGGCATCTTGTTGCTGAACATTCATAGCTGACATAGCCAGAGAACCATATTCGATAACGGGGCGTATATACGTGGTGTACAGTGCTGACAGGGCGGTGGGTGAAAGACGTCCACGAATCCGTCTCAAGAGGTGGAGAGTGCGCGCAACTTTGCTCTCGATGTGCTGGATGTGGGTATTCCACTTCAGGTCGGTCTGAACGATGATACCCAGGTGTCGCTGGCTCTGGACTCTGTTCAGTGTTTTGCCTTTCAACGTTATTGTCAGGGGAAAGCACCGCACAGTGTCATCACGACCGTCTTGGTTTCGTTGACGGTCAGCTGCCAGGTGTCGAGCCACGTAGCGGCTTTAGTCACACTGGACTGGAGCGCTCGCTCTGCTGCCGCTGCTGAGTGGTCGCTAGCGATTAAGGCGGTGTAGTCGGCGAAGAGGCTGCTTCGTGTGGCTTGGGAGTTGCAAGCTGGCTGCTGCTGGTAGGTCCATCGTGTATACGAGGAATAGCAGCGGGCCGAGTACCGATCCCTGAGGGACTCCTGCAGGGATGTCAAGCTAGTCGGAGGCTGTGCTTCCGATTCGGACCCGCTGCCTCCGGCCCAGGAGGTAGCTCTCAAACCAGCGGAGTGCTGCACCCCTTACGCCATGGTGTTCAAGCTTGTGCAAGAGGCCACGGTGCCACACGCGGTCGTAGGCCTTAGAGAGGTCAAAGAAGCAGACGTGGACTGACTTCTTGACCTCAAGGTCCGCAGCAAGTTCGTGCAGCAGGCGGCTTATTTGGTACTCTGTGCTGTCGTTCTTCCTGAAGCCTGACTGTTCTGGAGGGAGATGGGGTTGGATGTGCCTGTAGAGAGCTTTGTGGGCGATTCTTTCTTGCAGTTTTGATACGACGGGTAGGAGGGAGATAGGACGATAGTTTGTGGGACAGGCTCGACTGCCCTTCTTGAAGAAACGAGTAATCGCCACCGTGGCGGATCACGCAGCTTGAAAGTCAGCTTACTTGAACGACGGCGAGATCAAGTTCAGTGGAGTGCGATCAAAGAAGCCGCCGAGGCAAGGCTGAAACGAGCTGAACAACGCCTCGAGAGAGATGACGACTCGCGTACAGCAGATGACGACAGCGATGCAGGGTCAAAAATGAGTCGAGCGAAAGCGACGCAAACGGAACACTCTGTTCATTCTGCCAACAATTTCTCTTGTAAAGACACTGTACATAGGCTGAGCTACCTTCGGCCATTGATTTGCAGTCGATACAAACTGTTCTTGACCTGTTCTAAGCGTTCTCATAACCATCAAAAATCCATCACGAAGTTTTTGTTAACTGAGGAAGCAAACAGCTTCTAGAACATTTAAAAACTTTGCACTGCGTGCACGTGACAAAATAGAAAAACAATCTTCTAAGTACACTGCGCCACATTCAGGATGCTCTGACAAATGACAAGCAATGGACGAATCATACTTCTCAGAACAAACATTAGAACAATCAGAATGTTCAGTGGACAAGTCCTACATCAAATGCGTAGTGGACTCAGGCTTAGCTGTGTGTATGTACCAGTACAAACACACAAGTACAGAAGAGCACTCTCTATTCGCCTGTATGAAGTAAGAGATGAAGTAAGACACCAAGTAAGGGGCATAGGCATTTCGGAGCCAGACGAAATAAAGAGCCAGGCAAAATTTGGAGAAACTACTGAACCGTGACATTTACCTTCAACAACTGAATGATGATGGATGACACCAAGAGTACATAACCCCCAAGAGTGTGCAACTCCCTGCACAACCTCTATAATATGCTGCGACGGCAGAACTTCACATCACGTGACGCTGGCAAACAGTGCAAAGTGACCACAAGAGAGTTGAACCCAGAGCAGGGTTGTGTACAAGCCTGTATCTATCATGCACAGGGTTCAACTTCATCATGTAATGTGAAGTTCTGCCATCGCTGACCCAATAGCTGGAGTTGCACACTCTTGGGGGTTATGAACTATTGATGACGCCTAACACAGCAGTCTATAATTATAGGACAATGGTCGGATTGGTCCTCGGGAGAATATTTTCATAATCCCCGCGGCGCTGCATGCCTCGGCTCCGTGCACTGTCCTATACATACCAGGCCATGCCAGGCCGTGTCATAACAGGCGCATTGCATCTCAACATATAGCAGTACATAAGCATTCTAAGCACCAGGATATCGAGTGCACTGCTAGGAACACAACAGTCACTTCATGGACTCATACAGTAGCATTGGGGACTCATACAGTAGCATTGGGGACTCGTACAGTAGCATTGCGCGGTGAAGGACGTGTGGTCTCTACTTTCAGCTGGTCGTGCTCTTATATTCGAGATGCCAGCGTTTTCTATCTTATTAGAGAGGTTCCGGAGTACGATTTTTCGTGCCAAAATCCGTAGAGGCACTACTGATTTTTAGACGTCGTTTTCAAGCAGTGAAATGTTCCGGAGTACGGAACTTATGTGTTTGCCGTCATTGCCCAGGTTACGATCGCAAACACGTCATATTCCCGCGCTATGCTTTTTTATTTTGAAAATTTGTACCGAAATCAACTCGCAGAAAATCTATGTTTCTCATACCAAATTTGTACGCGAAAGATCTTTCTGCACTGGATGATGCAAAATCTCCATACATGGTTCGTATGAAAGCCAGTCCACACGGATTCTCCGTGCCGAAAAATCGTATGAAGCACGCCTCGAAAAAATTGGTAGCGCCCATACGGATTTTGGCACGGAAAATCGTACCCGGAACCTCTCTAGTATGCACTTCTACACTCACACAGTAGTCAAGATAAACTGTGTATGCAGGATTACATCAGCACCACAGATAAACTGTATATGCAGGGTTCCATCAGCACCACAGATAAACTGTGTATGCAGGATTACATCAGCACCACAGATAAACTGTATATGCAGGGTTACATCAGCACCACAGATAAACTGTGTATGCAGGGTTACATCAGCACCACAGATAAACTGTGCATGCAGGATTACATCAGCACCACAGATAAACTGTGTATGCAGGATTACATCAGCACCACAGATAAACTGTGTATGCAGGGTTACATCAGCACCACAGATAAACTGTGCATGCAGGGTTACATCAGCACCACAGATAAACTGTGTATGCAGGGTTACATCAGCACTACAGATAAACTGTGTATGCAGGGTTACATCAGCACCACAGATAAACTGTGTATGCAGGGTTCCATCAGCACCACAGATAAACTGTGTATGCAGGGTTACATCAGCACCACAGATAAACTGTGTATGCAGGGTTACATCAGCACCACAGATAAACTGTGCATGCAGGATTACATCAGCACCACAGATAAACTGTGTATGCAGGGTTACATCAGCACCACAGATAAACTGTGCATGCAGGATTACATCAGCACCACAGATAAACTGTGTATGCAGGGTTACATCAGCACCACAGATAAACTGTGTATGGAGGGTTCCATCAGCACCACAGATAAACTGTGTATGCAGGATTACATCAGCACCACAGATAAACTGTGTATGCAGGATTACATCAGCACCACAGATAAACTGTGTCTGCAGGGTTACATCAGCACCACAGATAAACTGTGTATGCAGGATTACATCAGCACCACAGATAAACTGTGTATGCAGGATTACATCAGCACCACAGATAAACTGTGTATGCAGGATTACATCAGCACCACAGATAAACTGTGTATGCAGGATTACATCAGCACCACAGATAACTGTGTATGCAGGATTACATCAGCACCACAGATAAACTGTGTATGGAGGATTACATCAGCACCACAGATAAACTGTGTATGCAGGGTTACATCAGCACCACAGATAAACTGTGCATGCAGGATTACATCAGCACCACAGATAAACTGTGTATGCAGGATTACATCAGCACCACAGATAAACTGTGTATGCAGGATTACATCAGCACCACAGATAAACTGTGTATGCAGGGTTACATCAGCACCACAGATAAACTGTGTATGCAGGGTTACATCAGCACCACAGATAAACTGTGTATGGAGGGTTACATCAGCACCACAGATAAACTGTGTATGCAGGGTTCCATCAGCACCACAGATAAACTGTGTATGCAGGGTTACATCAGCACCACAGATAAACTGTGTATGCAGGGTTACATCAGCACCACAGATAAACTGTGTATGCAGGATTACATCAGCACCACAGATAAACTGTGTATGCAGGGTTACATCAGCACCACAGATAAACTGTGTATGCAGGATTACATCAGCACCACAGATAAACTGTGTATGCAGGGTTACATCAGCACCACAGATAAACTGTGTATGCAGGGTTACATCAGCACCACAGATAAACTGTGTATGCAGGATTACATAAACACCACAGATAAACTGTGTATAAACTTGACAGAATAAATTGAACTAGATATACTGTACAATGCACAGAGTGCAATGTACGCCCGTACAGACAGAGTGCAATGTACAGACAGAGTGCAATGTACGCTCGTACAGACAGAGTGCAATGTACGCTCGTACAGACAGAGTGCAATGTACGCTCGTACAGACAGGGTGCAATGTACAGACGGAGTGCAATGTACAGACAGAGTGCAATGCACAGACAGAGTGCAATGTACAGTGTACAATGCACAGAAACTGTAAATTGTACACTTCTGGACGGTGTTTACTCGGCGGAAATGTGTGCCTAGTCGCGACCAGGAAACACTGAGTTTTGCTGACACAGTGGTTACCTAGGTGTGGCAAATTCCTGTAGATGCTAGGACACCAGTTCGGCAGTACTTCACGCCGGAAACATCTTGGTTGACGCGCACCAGAGAATGAGGAAAAATAACCAGGATGGCTCGGAAAAAGGACGTCTTCTTCACGTGCCTTTCCGAGCATCAAAAACCAGAGTCGTTTAGTCTACCAATCCAAGTCTGGAGCTACCCCCCCCCCCTCCATAACTGAAAACTCCACAGTCTCTGTAGAGTGTACTGGCCAGGCACAAGTATTGCTGTACATCCATCAGCATGAACTCAAGTGCGTAGGCGCTATGACTGAACGGCTGCTGGCTTGCGCGACCGTCCCCATTTAAAAAAAATGGTGGTACACGTAATTTGAAATCTGAATGTCACACTTTACTTACAGCACTAGAAGAGACAAGGTATCTCATGGATCGATGAAAGACACGCTCGGGTGATACTGTCAGTAACCGTCTAGCTACCAGGCCCAATGCCAGGCACATAGTACCAGAGAGAAAACCACCCACAAATACTCCTAACTTCCAGCTGTCCACTGCAGAAAGCAAAGACCCACACACACACACACACATACACGCATACACATAAACACACACACACACACCGTACACATATACACACACATACGCACACACACACACACACACACACACACACACACACACCGTATGACATACTTGTTTAAACACTCATCAGTATTTTATGTAGCCATTTATGGGCATTACTTCATAAAATGAGAGCACAGACTGAGCCTGAGCCTTAATATCACTGTCTGTGATGTGATGAAGGATATGCTACAATTGCATATCGCTTGTCAGGACGATAGTGATTCTGACAGACCAGACCACCTCGGAGATTGACTACTTTGCCCGATCCGAAAGGCAGTCGGAATTTTGAGGTTCCGCTGTATATGCATGTGCACTATAAATGAACTACAAGCAGAAAACTGTACACATCATTGATATGCGCTAACATCAAACTGTACACATCATTGATATGTGCTAACATCAAACTGTACACATCATTGATATGCGCTAACATCAAACTGTACACATCATTGATATGCGCTAACATCAAACTGTACACATCATTGATATGCGCTAACATCAAACCGTACACATCATTGATATGCGCTAACATCAAACTGTACACATCATTGATGTGCGCTAACATCAAACTGTACACATCATTGATGTGCGCTAACATCAAACTGTACTCCAATGATGTGCGCTAACATCAAACTGTACTCCAATGATGTGCGTTACACGTCAACTGTCAACTTGTACTTCATTCATGTGTGTTGCACGTCACACATCAAACTCTACTCCAATGATGCGGGTCACACATCACACATCAAACTCTACTCCAATGATGTGGATCACACATCACACATCAAACTCTACTCCAATGATGTGGATCACACATAACACATCAAACTCTACTCCAATGATGCGGGTTACACATTACACATCAAACTCTACTCCGTTCGTCACACGTCACACATCAAACACTACTCCAATGATGCGGGTCACACATCACACATCAAACTCTTCTCTAATGCTGTGGATCACACATCACACATCAAACTCTACTCCGTTCGTCACACGTCACACATCAAACACTACTCCAATGATGCGGGTCACACGTCACACATCAAACTCTACTCCAATGCTGTGGATCACACATCACACATCAAACTCTACTCCGTTCGTCACACATCACACATCAAACTCTACTCCAATGATGCGGCTCACACGTCACATATTGCCCAAGGGACTTGTGATGGCATGTGATAGCACTATCGCCCAAGGGACTTGTGATGGCATGTGATAGCACTATCGCCCAAGGGACTTGTGATGGCATGTGATAGCACTATCGCCCAAGGGACTTGTGATGGCATGTGATAGCACTATCGCCCAAGGGACTTGTGATGGCATGTGATAGCACATGAAAAACCTTTCTTTCTTTCACAGGTGTCACAGGTTGCAACCTCAGAGAGTGGTAGAGCATTTCAAGAAATGCTCAAGACACACATGTCAAATCCAGTCTGCAGGAAATGCATGCGCTCCCAAGTATGGAGGAATACACATTCTCTCAAGGTGACAAATTTCAAATGATTCAAACACAGAGGAAAGTCAAGTACAGCAATAGCGGTAAAACCACGCCTGGTGAAATGTAGGGAAATACACACCGCCCACACAAATCTCTCCCTCTCCCTCTCCCCCTCCCCTCCCCCTCCCTCCCTCCCTCCCTCCCTCCCTCCCTCCCTCTCTCTCTCTCTCTCTCTCTCTCTCTCTCTCTCTCTCTCTCTCTCTCTCTCTCTCTCTCTCTCTAAGCTGCAAGTTTCTGGTCAGGAGTACTCCTTCTCTAACCACCATCATCAGTGTACGCATGGTCACAGGTGTCTGGTCGACGCACGGCTGGTGATAAAGTGCGCCTTTACAGAACCTTGCAACTTAGAGAGCGTTGTGTGGGCAGGAATGTATTTTCCACCATTTCGCCTGGCGGGTGTGTCTTCACCACATCTCTCTACTGTATGACATGATGCTGCATTGATGTCTTCACAACATTCTACAGAGGAAAGTCAAAAATGAGTTATAACAGCAGATATAGTCCAACTCCCCAGACACCGACGTCCCTAATCCGGGCACGTCCGTCAACCGCGCACCTCTCTGACCCATCTAGTCACAAAAACGGCTCAACGAAAACCGGCTCAACGAAAACCGGCCCCAAAACAGTCACATTGATGTGGCATAAACATCTGGACATGCATTCGGCAAGTATGTAAGTTCTGAGTTACGGGCAATTCCTAGTTACGGGCAGTGCTAGGTCCCAACCTGACCGAATTAGGTACGGGCAGTGCTAGGTCCCAACCTGACCGGACTAGTTACCAGCAGTGCTAGGTCCCAACCTGACCGAATTAGGTACGGGCAGCGCTAGGTCCCAACCTGCCCGGACTAGTTACGGGCAGTGCTCGGTCCCAACCTGCCCGGGCAAGTTACAGGCAGTGCTCGGTCCCAACCTGCCCGGACTAGTTACAGGCAGTGCTCGGTCCCAACCTGCCCGGACTAGTTACGGGCAATACTCGGTCCCAACCTGACCGGACTAGTTACGGGCAGTACTCGGTCCCAACCTGCCCGGACTAGTTACAGGCAGTGCTAGGTCCCAACCTGCCCGAATTAGGTACGGGCAGTGCTAGGTCCCAACCTGACCGGACTAGTTACCAGCAGTGCTAGGTCCCAACCTGACCGAATTAGGTACGGGCAGCGCTAGGTCCCAACCTGCCCGGACTAGTTACGGGCAGTGCTCGGTCCCAACCTGCCCGGGCAAGTTACAGGCAGTGCTCGGTCCCAACCTGCCCGGACTAGTTACAGGCAGTGCTCGGTCCCAACCTGCCCGGACTAGTTACGGGCAATACTCGGTCCCAACCTGACCGGACTAGTTACGGGCAGTACTCGGTCCCAACCTGCCCGGACTAGTTACAGGCAGTGCTAGGTCCCAACCTGACCGAATTAGGTACGGGCAGCGCTAGGTCCCAACCTGCCCGGACTAGTTACGGGCAGTGCTCGGTCCCAACCTGCCCGGGCAAGTTACAGGCAGTGCTCGGTCCCAACCTGCCCGGACTAGTTACAGGCAGTGCTCGGTCCCAACCTGCCCGGACTAGTTACGGGCAATACTCGGTCCCAACCTGACCGGACTAGTTACGGGCAGTACTCGGTCCCAACCTGCCCGGACTAGTTACAGGCAGTGCTAGGTCCCAACCTACCTGGACTAGTTACCAGCAGTGCTAGGTCCCAACCTGACCGAATTAGGTACGGGCAGCGCTAGGTCCCAACCTGCCCGGACTAGTTACGGGCAGTGCTCGGTCCCAACCTGCCCGGGCAAGTTACAGGCAGTGCTCGGTCCCAACCTGCCCGGACTAGTTACAGGCAGTGCTCGGTCCCAACCTGCCCGGACTAGTTACGGGCAATACTCGGTCCCAACCTGACCGGACTAGTTACGGGCAGTACTCGGTCCCAACCTGCCCGGACTAGTTACAGGCAGTGCTCGGTCCCAACCTGCCCGGACTAGTTACGGGCAATACTCGGTCCCAACCTGACCGGACTAGTTACGGGCAGTACTCGGTCCCAACCTGCCCGGACTAGTTACAGGCAGTGCTAGGTCCCAACCTGCCCGGACCAGTTACGGGCAGTACTCGGGCAGTACTCGGTCCCAACCTACCTGGACTAGTTACAGGCAGTGCTCGGTCCCAACCTGCCCGGACTAGTTACGGGCAGTGCTAGGTCCCAACCTGCCCGGACTAGTTACGGGCAGTACTCGGGCAGTACTCGGTCCCAACCTGCCCGGACTAGTTAGTTACAGGCAGTACTCGGTCCCAACCTGCCCGGACTAGGCCGGACTAGGGGAGTTTGACTGTAGTGTGGTAAGTGGTTTGTTGGTACAGTCACCAGTTCACCACACAGCCAGGAATCAAACAACATGACCAGCCTATCACATATCTCTTATTGGCCACTGGCTAGCGTCAGACCAAAGACACAAATACAAAAACAAACACAGCAGCAGCAGCATTGGCTACGACGACAGCGACAACACGACTGCAACAAACAGCAGTGGCCATGACGACAGCAACAACACGACTGCAACAAACAGCAGCAGTGGCCACGACGACAGCGATAACACGATGGCAACAAACACAGGATTTTCTTACCGAAAGTTACCTTGGTGAAGTATTTTGTCAAGCGAATTGACAAATGTGACAAGACGTATGCTACCGTACCAACTACAGGAGAACATAACATGCAGCAGAAAGCAGGACAGTAACAAAAAAACTTATTCCCGTAGCTATGCAAAAGACGTTACTTCAGTAACGTCTGGCGCTAGCCAGGGTCTACACAGCTTTAATTCCGTGTTTGTTTGTTTGTTTGTGCCATCGGCATGCCTGGCGCTAACAGTTATCCCGTACCTGTCCCGTACCGTACCATCAAGGACAGCTGGCCACAATATTCAAATAGGGCTTCAAATGCAAGATCATAACGTGAAGCAACTTGGAAGAATGAGTATGTATGCGAACTGTATCCGGGGAGTGCATGCAGGGCGATAGTGCGGGTTCGAATCCTAGGTTGTCTTGAAAAAAAAATAGGAGAAACGAAAATTAATAACATCCCTATGCTTTTTTTTGCCTAGGTCAGCAAATTGGTAGACGGTGTCGCATTACCCTCGAATGCAAATTTTGTCTTTCGCTCAGGGCCCTACGCTATGCTTTTTTGCCTAGCTCATCATGCATGTTATTCGAACAGATGGAAACTTTTGCAATACAATGATGTAGCCGATCAGTTCGTTGTGGTATGGTTGGGCATTGTAGCCGTCATGGTCAACGTAAAATACTACAGCCAATCAATGGAAAAAACATTTCCATCAGTTCTAATAACATGCATGAGCTAGGCAAAAAAGCATAGCGTAGGGCCCTGAGCTTCCAAGCTCTCTCGTTTCAGAAGCTGTGGAATGCGCCAGGGTCCTCACCTATTTACTTCCTATGAAGTGTGTACGTTAGTGTATGGCATGTCCGGGCTGGCATGAACCACACGAGTGGCCATGGTGTGTAGGTCACGTACCAGCACAAGTGTGTATCTAGTGTGCAGGTTAGTACAACGAGAGAGCTGCCAGCTCACAGTCCTTGCTATACTTGGTCTTTGCCTAGGTCATGATATGTGGTACCCGGCCGGGTACCGTACTCGGGCCATTAGTGCACAGGGGCGCTATTTCTTTTTTTAAGTCCATCACAAGCGGAGCAATATTCAAGAGGGCATTATTTGCTCAATGATGGTGCATTTACGTCACCCAGCATAAAAACAAAGAAGGCAGAGAGCAGGGTCTAAAGTTCACTCTAAACTATCATGACTCAAAAGAAACAAGAACTGTGATTTGGATCCTGAAACCACCAATGCAACGACATGGACAAGAACGAAACCAAACGAAACCAAAACAACACCAAACCTGCACATGCGTTTGATTACAAGTCTGGCAGCTCTCTCACTTCGTATGTAAGTGTGTGTGTGTGTGTGTGTGTGTGTGTGTGTGTGTGTGTGTGTACGTGTGTGCACGTGTGTGCGCGTGTTCGTGTGAGTGTGTGTACGTCATCGGGCTCACACAGTCCAATACGAACCACTTGAGTGATTATGTCAGTGAGTTGAAGGTGACAAAGCAGCGGCACAACAGATTGTCACATATGCGTTTGTGACCGATCAATAAGCAGTGCGGTGGTTTGCATGTCACGTAACTCATAATGTGAACTGCAAATAAGCGCACAATACAGTGAAACAGCTGTCTAAGACGACCGCTCAAGGGACCTTCAAAATGTGGTCTCTGTTACCAGGTGGTCTCCTTATCCAGGGTCATTTGACTGGAAATAGCATCCCTTGATCCTGGTTTCAGTGGTCTTCTTGGATAGGTGGTCGCCTTATCCGAGTGGTCGCCTTGCCAGGTTTTACTGTACTCGATAATCAATACTCGATAATCAATACTCGATAATCAATACTCGATAATCAATACTCGATAATCAATACTCGATGCTCAATACTCGATAATCGTGACGTACACGAGTACATCTACACCAAAATGAAGATCTGCTTTTCATCGAAACAAAACTTGATTCTTTGCCAACTCTTTTCACCTTGCTACTGTTTGCGTGTTCTGCAGATTTACCCGGCATGCCTTGCCTTGTTTTGCAGTGTTTGCCTTGCCGTAAATTAGACAGATGGGAAAGAGTGTGTTCTCCAATCACGCTGAAAAGAAGTTCCTCGTTTTGAGAAATGCTCAAGTCAGCGGACAAGAATGTGATGTGGAGTCGCAATGAAATTGTCATTTTCTTTGCACTTATTTGAATTTCTGATCTGCTCTTTGAGGAATTCCTGGGCTCGGAATCTACGATGTGGTTGTACACCATGTGACAGCATCAATAAGAATTTGGGAGATAGAGACATTGTTCTTTGCTGTTGTATTTGAACAAACTACATTGTACATCTTATTACAGGGTGCGACAGAGCTCTCGGCCATTGAAGAAAATGTTGAGTCACTTTCCTTCTCCCGCGTTATCACCTCAGCTATGCCAGTTTTTTTTATGTGGAAACCCCCTATATAATAGCAGTTTGGTCTATATTTTTAATCATTCAACATCTACCTTCACTGATGAGCTATGTATTAGCGAAACAGCTGTCTGGAGGATTTTATCAATATCGTCTACGGAAGTGTCCTCGCAATGGTGATGGTTGTGCGCAGGAGGGTCTAGTCGGCTAAAGAGCGCAGTGTAGTGGTGGAGGTGACTCAACATTTTACATTGTACATGTGCGGAGAAACCAATTTCAAGTCAAGAAGATCTACACTACCGAATGTCAAGAAGATCTACACTACCGAATGTCAAGAAGATCTACACTACAGAATGTCAAGAAGATCTACACTACAGAATGTCAAGAAGATCTACACTACAGAATGGACCACACAAATCTTCTCGTTTCTTCACGCTGGAAATTTGAAATACCCATAGGAACTGGAGGGTAAATCGTCCCAAAATGCAAACATGCCTGTCGTCGAGTCCACACATCCATAGTCACTTTTCAAACATGCCTGTCGTCGAGTCCACACATCCATGCAGTCACTTTTCAAACATGCCTGTCGTCGAGTCCACACATCCATAATGCAAACATGCCTGTCGTCGAGTCCACACATCCATGCAGTCACTTTTCAAACATGCCAGTCGTCGAGTCCACACATCCATAATGCAAACATGCCTGTCGTCGAGTCCACACATCCATGCAGTCCACACATCCATAATGCAAACATGCCTGTCGTCGAGTCCACACATCCATGCAGTCACTTTTCAAACATGCCTGTCGTCGAGTCCACACATCCATGCAGTCACTTTTCTCGTGAACCACTCGCTGTAAAACGCGCATGTGCCTGTCGTGTGAATCGCCTACTAGGGCAGGCTTTACTGTACATGCAGTTGTGATGATACAGGTCTACTCTCCATATAATGTAATCTCTGGGACCACGCAAACATTATGTTATATCGAGAGTTATGTTATGTAGAAAACCGTGTGTAAAATACAAGATGCACCTCAAAATGAAGGGTATTACACTTGAAGGCGGGTTCAACCGTGCAAACATATACACTGTACCACCATCGACATCAGATACCATCAATGCCGCAGAATATATGCACATAGGACTAAACTGGCTAGCTACGACTACAGCTTGATTGTACCGCGCACGTGAATCTACGTTGTATCGAGAGTGTACACGTCGGGGACTGCGCCGTAGGGTGCGTTATGCCGAGGTTTACGTTATGTAGGACTAAACTGGCCTAAACTGCCTAGCTACAGCTACCGCTTGATCATACCGTGCACGTGAATTTATGTTGTATCGAGAGTGTGCACGTCGGGGGCCGCCGTAGCGTGTGTTATGTCGAGGTTTATGTTATGTAGGATTATGTTGTGTAGAACAAATTTTGTATGGGAGTGATGCTGTTTCGGCGCGGGATTTGATTTTTTTATGTACTAATGAGGTTTATGTACAAGTGAGAGTTGTTATATCGAGAGCAGACCTGTAGTAAGAGTGCATTGTATGAAGTTCCGAGTCAAAATAAATACTCATAACTGGATACACTTGGCGGGAATAGCCACTCACTTAGTCCCAGTGTTGTTATAAGTTAATATCTATTCTGTCTCTGAGCCAGAATGTTTTGTAGTGCAAAGGCATGTCAACTACTTCTTTCGACATGATGTACTGCCACTTTAGACCAACTCGTGTGACGAAGAGTCGAAGTCTGACACTGTGTAATTTTGACTGATTAGTACAGGAGTTATTACAAACATTACGTTAGTACTGTACTCACCTCCCATTGTGAACGCCAGAATATAATAGGTGATTTTTCTATACGGAGACACAGCCTTCGTAAGTTGTTCCTTTTCTGTTTGACTGCACATTCTGCGAATGAACACTCCATGACCATTGGGTTGAAAGGACTTTGCAGGCCTAGCTTTAGGGCACTGGATAAAGAAATTCCGACTACATTGCTGAAAAGTACGAGAACAAAGTCTGGCGGGTGCTGGAAGTGATCCAAACAATGGCCGAAGTGAGGCTAGCATTGTAAAATACCGAGAACGTGAAGTTCGTGCTGCTCTTCACATTGAACTCACTGCTATCTACTGCTTACAGGGTTAGGGACTAGGGCTGAAAAGAACAGAGCTGCTTAGTTCTGTCACCCACGATACTCAGCGAACAGGACTATGTCAACAATGTGAACAGTAAACTGAGCTCGCAACATCAAATTTACTTTGCCAAGCCAGCTTCTCTCAGATTGAATGTCTACAAGACTAATTTTCAGCTCTTCAGTTTTCGAAAACTGTAAACACAGTGAATATTTTTTGCATGATTGTGCATCATGTGGCGCTGTACTGTCGACTGTCCTGACTACGTCACTGATTACTGCATGCATGCATGTCATGTCACAGTCTGTCTGTGCGATGTCGTAATCAATAGTCAGTGCACGTGACGGGAGTCACGGACTCACGGGATTTGATTTGCAGCCCGGGCCAAGGAGGCTGAGGTCGAGAGTGCCAGGCAGAAAGTCTTGCTCGGCCCCGAAACATACATAATTTTGCTACTAAGTGAGTGAGTAGCAAATAGAACATCATGAAACACAAATACTCGGCAGGGGCGCACGGTACGACCAGTACGACCACTTGTTTGTCCAGAATGATCCGCCACAGCGCCTCACGGTAGAATGGTGTTGGCCGAAAAATTCGATTAATTCAAGGCTCCCCATGGGGGGGGGGGGGCTGCTCGCCTGGTCGATCGTACCACACCCCACTGTCCCACGACACCTAACCCCTGCTCGGCCACACAATGATGTTGGTATACATGCACTGGCACAGAACAGTGCAGTTCGAGCCGGCAACCGGGAAAGAGACCACTATACGACAAACATCGACCCTTGACATTGTATGATCAGAAACCGTTGGCCCGATCAGTGTGGATGGACGATGGCTGGAAGTCAAGACTCTATCTGCCGTGACCGTAGGGCAAAATCGCCATGCCGCAGTAAACTTCATGCATTGCATTCAACAAGTGACTTGAATTTTCATACCTCGGCGCTCCAGTGCCTCTATGGAGTCAACGGTGGATAACCGTGGGTCAACGACCTGGCCCGAGGCTGATGATGCCACAACCTGACGGCCAACGCACAAACACAGTGACAGCCTGGCTCAGCCTTAGTCTCCGCAGCCTTTGAAATTGAACAAACACAGCCTCGGTCTCCTCACACTGAACCGACCGTGACAGTGTCGGTGTCCGCAAAAACAAACAACAGTCTGGGTCACACAGCGGCTCCAGCCTCCAAATCAAATTCTCGTCTTCTCTTCAAACAGTCCCGGCCGGGCCGCTCACACCTACAGGATTGATCCGATGCCGTGCTGTTTGAAATACACCGTAATCGGATGTTCAACTGTATTCAGTTACTAACGTTATGCCGAGTGACAGTAATATGCCAGTTCAATGCGGTTGTCCACATTGGTGGATAAGACTGATCAGGAAAATGATATTATTCTATTAGCTGAGGGAATAGGTGATGCTAGGTATTTGATAATGTACACTATTAGGCGATGATGAGATTACTAGATACTGCTGAGAAGCCGGGCCCGAAGTTATCATCCGTGCAGTTCAAGTTCAAGTTTAGTGGGGAGTATATCTGGTGAGTCACTAGAGTAGTGACTGCCGTATACTTTGACATGCAGTATTGCTATTCAGGTTTATAGTTAGCTATGTCCTATATTATTATTACTTGGTATGTAGAAGACCATAAAGCCATACTGCATGAGGCCAAATAAAAAAGGGATTGTTTATCATCAGATGTATTACACTAGCAGGTAAGTTAGCCGTTGAGCGGATATGCCTCAGCTATTTGCAGAGTGTTACGACTACAAGTATGAATAGTACCACTAACCATCCATATACATGATTGTACATGCCACATATGCACTATGTGCCGGCTACAGTGCTACTATGGTATACGGCTAGCTGCACAGCACAATGCCATACCCGCATGATTTTTAACTCGTAATGCATATCATAGTGAACCAGGATGATTCCACCAGAAACCTACACAGTACGTCCACAGTATGTACACAGCTACCATGAGCAGTTAAGTGTACGTGGTGCTACGGCATTGCTGCATGGTGCTATAGACCACTGTGACACTTGACTGGTGGCTGCTAGAACAGCCGTCGGACACAGACACTACCAAGCTATACTTGATTAAGTTGATAGGGACATGTGCGGGTGTTTGTACCCGATGGTACATATTCAGGAGCGGAAGAATTGTACCAACGTGTCGCTTTCCTGCATACGCTGACGGATGTAGCCACTCGTTGCGGCTACTAGTCGGCCGTAGAAGACGTAGTCCTTGAATGTATGCGCCATGCCGTACAGTGCTATGCGGTTGACTAGCAGGTCACACATGACTAGGTCAAATACATCTTGATATCTGTAAACGGATAAGAACATGCACACAAAACAAACATACAGAAACAATCCAATAGTTTACAAACAGATTGCATAACTAGAGTACTGGTCAAAAAAATCCAACCTCATGAATAAAATAGCGTTACCGAGCGCTATGCAGCCCTAGAACTACACATACTGGCATGTGCACTCGAACGCGACGCTACTTTATTCATGAGGTTGGATTTCTCTAGCCAGCACTGTTGTATGCGAGATCAGTGAGAAACTATCTCATACCTACCGTCTCTCAGACCAGTTGAGATCAGTGAGAAATTATCTCATATCTACCGTCTCTCAGACCAGTTGAGATCAGTGAGAAATTATCTCATACCTACCGTCTCTCAGACCAGTTGCAGGTCCACCGTAAATTGACGTATTAGAATACAACTCATGTACTAGTTGTACTACAGTGCCGGCAACTGAAATCCGACCCCCTGGCCTGAGCGTTGAGTTCACATTCTTTGCGATGTGAGCGCACCGCTGAGGGGGTCGGATTTCAGTTGCCAGCATTGTAGTACGTACAAAATACTTTTTCTAGCGTACCAGCGTGTGCATGAAGAGTATGGGGAGTGTGGGTACAGCGAGGGCTGCATACCACCAGCCTGTGTATTGTCACAGCAAGCATGACACTACAGCGGTCTCTGTTGGGATGATGACTACACCATACCTCGGTGGTTAGAGCATCGCTGGCCTATAGGGAAAGTCCCTGGATAGAGTCCTGCTAGTGACAGTCAACCTTTTCTCCAGGTTTCCCCCGTTTAACACCCTCATCTCGAATTTATTGGCTCCACATGACCAGTGTATTGCAGTAGGGGTGAAACGATTCTACCGAATACTCGAAATAGAAATCGTTACAAGCTAACGAATACACTATTCGAAAAGTTTCGATTACTCGATTATGCATACAGTATGCAAGATCATACATACACGTACTTGTATGATTGTAGTCAATGTAGATCGACCGATGTGCGAGAAAAAATTCTCTTCTCCAGAGGACAAATTATAAAATTCTAAATTTTCACATTTTTCAGCTGATTTGATCTGTGGACGAAATAATCGAAAAATATAGGTTTCGGTTATTCGGTAGTAAAAAAGTGTAATCGTTTCACCCCTATATTGCAGTGAGCAAGTACAAGTAAAATGTACATGTGCAAGTGTGTGGATGGATACATGTGAACTTACTGCTGTTGTGAAATATCACATCCAGTAGCTGTTTCCAGTGCCAGCCTATGATGCTCTAGAAGACTCTTCCACTCACTGAGAGGAGCATCAGGGCTTAGTACGAATGCCAAGAACTCAGCAACGTCACGTTGTGGTACATGGAGTGTTGCCAACTCCCAGTCGTAGCAGCAGAGATGACGTTTTCCATCCACACTTTGTGATGCAGGGCGTATACAGAGGTTACGTGTGTTGAAATCATTGTGGACCAATGTACGTGTGGAAGCCTCAAACGCTTGCCAGATTGGTCCAATGTGGTCAATGATATCCTGTGCCAGTGTACAACTGCAGCAGGAACGCAATGACACCAAACACTAACACGTTAGCTCACTCACTGGCCAGCATGCATTACTTATAACTAGCACCCCGCATCATGCATAAGATGAGATGATTTCCCCAAGTTGGTGACAGTCGTTACACCATCATCGCACAATCGACATGTAGTGAGAAATGCTAGCACTGGTAGACTGGGCAGCAAGCAACCAACAATAAAACACTGGAGGGGCCGTCCATAATTATCGATCTTTTACACGAAGAGAAAAAGTTCCGTATATGGGTGGGTGGGTCAAGGGGAGTTTCGTTTTGAAAAATATTGATATGTGAGACATCAAGGCATTCTTGCTGTCAAGTCAATCTATTTTTGTTCAGGGGGGGGGGGGGGGTAGGTGGGGGAGTGTCCTAACTAAACTTTTTCGTTTCGTGAAAATTATCGATAATGCCGGATAGACCCTCACAACGGGAGATTTTTCAATGGGGCACAGCCTGACAGTAACCATGGTAACAGACTTTACAATTTACAGTTTTAAAATAACTTTACACTAATACTGTAGTTGCTGCAGAGCAATCAAATCATAGACATTAGTGAGGTTTTGCATTCCGAATTTCGGTACAGCGTTCTTCGGTCATTTGTCGAACATCAAAATGTCGAATTTTCGCACCAACGTTTGTTTTGCAAGTCGAAAATTATGTGTTTTCATTTCGTGAGCCCCAGCATCAGCAACGTCCTGTCCCGTGCTCCTTTTCTTGCTGATTCCAACGAACTTTGATCACCCAAAGAGTCGAGGGCCAAACCTGCCTCCTCAGTCGCCTCAGAAAAACCAACTCCATGGCCAAGTCAAATTGTATGCGTGTCGCCATAGTCTTTTCAGCCACACAGATCACGGTGAGGACACTCCAGGCGAAAGAGAGTAGACAGGCAGTGGAGAGGAGCAATCAGAGGTAGCTAGCTGACGATGCTATGTCGCCAAAGACGCCTGCCAAGCGATGCCGAGATAAGAAACCTCTTTGAATAAATCACGCGCTAGCGCTCTTCTACAAGAAAATGCATCCGAAAAATATTTTCGGCAAAGTGAGCTTTTCCGAGCAAACACGCCGAATCTTCGTGTGCATTTTCGACCTCGCTCCCGCGTGCCGAATCTTTTTGCCGAAATTCGGAATGTAAAACCTCACTAATATCCACAATTTCTTTCTCTGTCCAGCCCCAGCTAGCCCTAGCCCCAGTTTATTAGTCACAATTGTTCTTAGGATTGTGATGCCCGTGGCTACTCAGTGAGTGTGACTATACTACCAAGAACACATATTCCCCAGAGTGTGCTGCCGCTGAGACCATGTCATGTTGTCATGGCAACATTCCAAGATCACACATCATACAGAGGATAACTGTGTTCAGTCCGTGAGGTGCCCGGGCAGTCTGGAATAGAGACGTGCCAATGTTCACTCACTACATTGTACTGTGCATCACAGCCCAGTACCTATGAATGATCATATTAGCTATTAGTGCTGTCACAGTTAATGCAGTGCAGCGAGCAGTGAAGCTATTCAGTTTGAGAGCAGAGTACTCCGAACATAACAATAGTGTTCACCATAGAGACTGCCATAATCAGTAACTTTAAACTTCCCTAAATTCCATAGTGACTTACACATCATGATTCCAGATGTGTGGATGTTCACGTTGGTTGTGCCTCAACAATGCACTCCATAGATCATACTTCTCCACCATGTCGTCCGGGTAGTGAGCATCAATCCACTTCTTGCTCAGTAGCTCCTCTTCTTTACCGTAATGCATTGCATGAAAGTCAGCAATATCGCTAAGAACAAGCTGTGTTGCAAAGAGCCAAAAAAAACCATACACACGACAAAATATTACTTGACCTGGTTGCTTGAATTGCAAGAATTCAACCTGTGCATGCAAAATAGACTGTGCTGCTGGTGTCCATGGTCGCATACCGGTATCCATGGTTTCAATAAGTGAACTTTTGAACTCTGAAGAAACACTCCCATACTCTAATCAGACATTCGGGGCATATTAAAAGTGCTCTGACATAAAGCATCGCCTAAGGAACAAATGAACTAGCTCGTCCAGTATGGCCCAGAATAGTTAGTACCAGGGACCGGAAACCCAGGACCCAGGGACACTGGGCACCCAGGAATCGGATACGTTGGGACCCAGGAACCGGGTAGGTCGGAGAAGAGGGACTGGACACACTAGAACCCAGGGGTCGGGTACCCAGGGCAACAGGGACTGGACACACTAGGACCCAGGGGTCGGGTACCCTGGGCACCAGGGGCCAGACACACTAGGACCCTGGGGTCGGACCCAGGGCACCAGGTACTGGACACACTAGGACCCAGGATTCGAGTACCCAGGGTAACAGGGACTGGACACACTAGGACCCAGGGGTCGGTACCCTAGGCACCAGGGGCCAGACACACTAGGACCCAGGGCAACAGGGACTGGATACACTATAGTCTGTTTCAAAAAGATTTACAATCAGGTTTGGGTCTTAAAAAGTATGAAGATAATGGAAATTTGGACAACAAAGTACATAGAATGGCTTGTTAGGACACGGCAAACTGTTCTGTGAAGGTTTCGGAACAATTGGACCAACCGTTAAGGAGTTAGAATTTTGGCCAGGTTTCCGGCCTTTTCCCATGGTTTACAATTTGCCCAGGAAGCCAGTATCATCAAAACCCACGATTTATCCTTTCCTTTTTGGCCTTGTGGTTATGAATGCTGTCTGCTGACCATGAAGTTGTGAGTTCAAACCCCAACCTATCCTCAAGTCAATTCATTGCATTCCCAACTCATCACATCCACGCGCTCTTCAGCCGAACCATACAGACACCAGCAAGGACACTTCCGTTGAGAGATGATATTGCTCCACGCCTCTAGACAGCTGTTTCGCTCCCTGTCGGAGCTCATCAGTAGAGGATGATAATGATGATAATGGAGGAATGATCATTCTTATACACCAGAAATGGCGCAAGTGCGCGCTTTCCACATATATCAAGCTGCTAAAATGGTAAAGTGTGAGAACAGCGATAAATAATCATAGGACGCACTCATTGGTGGAGAAACACACCACACAGGCGACGAAAATCTTACGCGGAATACTGATGCCAATGGAAAGTACACGTATGTTAAACTTTTTTTTCATTGTTTTGGTGATCAAGCTGGTACAAGACACAGAAGATGGCTGCACCAAACGACTTGTTGTTGGAGCTCGCGCTTCCTGCCGAACTGACTGACACTTGACTGGCTCACGCCATGTGAACACACCCACAACACTGCAATGGTGTGCGTGAATATGGAAGTCATCGCGCTGTAGCTTTTTGAGATTTATTTTAGTATTTCAAGATCGCCAATTTATTTGAATTTTAGCAGTCAATGCCGTCTTCTATCAGCGTCCACAAGCGTCTGGTTCTCTCAAAATGTCGTCGAAGTCACACGGATAGCTTTGTCAAGTCATGGCCTTGGGAATGAGTCCGTGTCGATGTCGTTTTCGTCACGCGGTGAGTAAATTGCATCGCAGCTCAAAGAAACTATTTTGGTCACAAAACGAATTGGGACCCATGCCGCTCGTCAACATTTACAACACTTTCGTTTCGACATGTCCTCTCTGACTCCATTATCGATACGAGGAAGAACTCGTTTGTTGTAAACCAGACGTACAAGACTGTATCAACGTGAGTGCTAGTGAGTAGTCATTTTTCCTGCTTTCGCGCGGAATATTTCTTCGAGTTCACAGTGAGTTTTTCCAGGCAGTGATCGAGTGCTCATACGGTAAGACACCAAACTCCGCGGGCGATCGCCAGGATTGCAAATCTTTTTGAAACGGACTGTAGGACCCAGGGTCGGACCCAGAGCACCAGGGACTGGACACACCAGGGCAGGGCCGGCGGAACCGCACCGGCCGGTCCGGCCATGGCCGGACCAACTTTTCGGCCACCGACGATTTTTTTAGGACGCAGTAACGTCATGTTGTGATCATCGATTGTACATGTATGCGTACTTGCGATCTCGCTCTGATCTTGCCATGCACGCGTGCGCGCTTGAGCCTTTTGAGGGCTAGCTGTGGCCTAGCTGTGGCCTGTGGGCCTGTGGTGCGAGTCGCGCGACCTGAAGGCACGTGCCATGATGGATTCTACATTGTAAAAATACTTGAGGGTTTTTCGTCGAGTGCTTCAGATTCTTTTACTGAACGGAGTAGTTTTTCAAATTTGTCTCGCTGTTTGGTCAGCTTAGCCGCAGTGCATGCTTAGCAGCTATGGCTTCTTCCAGCGAAGTATCTGTGCCAGAAGTGCCATTCCACCCAACCACTTCCTTCGTGTTTCCTCGGTGGGAATTTGGGAAAAAGACAGTGGTGAAGCGCTCTTGTCAGGCATTTGGCAAATTTTATGGCCGCGCTTGAGAGCTCCGTGTTAAGTTTTATGGAACACACTGCTTGTTTGACTAATCAAACCCTGTGTGTTAGTGCACATGGTGCGTCAAATTCTACCCTAATGTTTTCTTCGCCATGTATTCTACGCAAACTCTTCTATCTTCTGCCATGTCAAGTTCTGCGTACGGGTATCTTCCAACGGTCACCATCCCACTACTGTTCTGTTCCAGGCATTCCGGCTGACGTTTGTACCCAATTTTCTTCTCCAATTCAAGTTTCATCCGGATGGGGTATGATGGGCCCGGCTCTGTGGGCATGGCCGGACCAATCAACAATTGCTTCCGCCGGGCCTGCAGGACCCAGGGTTCGAGTACCCAGGGCAACAGGGACTGGACACACTAGGACCCAGGGGTCGGTACCCTAGGCACCAGGGACTAGACACACTAGAACCCAGGGGTTGGGTACCCAGGGCAACAGGGACTGGACACACTAGGACCCTGGGACTTGGTATGTAGCACCCGGGAACCTGGACAAAGCTACCCTGAACGTGGGCAATTTCCTAATTAAAAAGTGCATTAACGTGAATGACAACTTTAGTGTATGACAACTTGATTGGTCACATAGTCAAGGCTGAAGAAGTATGCCCCTGAAAGTGGAGGCATTGGAATCTTCTAAGGAAGGATCTATTATAGTTTGAGTATAGCTGTGGCTACATACCCGGATAGAGAGTAGCAAAGTATTCCTCACTGCACATCATGACCACTGGAAGAACTACAGCCACATGTACATGTATGTGTACTTGGAAGAAGTACAGTCAGACCTCGCTTATCCGGTCCTCGTTTATCCGGATCCCTCGCCATCCGGAAGAAAATAGTTGGTTACAAATGTACAGCATATGCCATGCTTACATACAGTATGTGTGTTCGATTATCCGGTTCCCTCGCCTATCCGGATATTTTTGTGGAAAACGGATGTGTGCGGTTATGCGAGGTCTGACTGTATGTGACTGTGCATGTGTATGTGTATGTGTATGGGTAATAGCTGTCTTACCTCTTGGTCTGATCTGGTCCAATCTACTGGATTGTCAGCAGTTGCAAAATGAAGCATGTCTTTCATATGCTCCATGAGGTACACCAGGACATCCTGTGCATATACAGTGTAGGCAACAGAACAGTGTGGAACATACGCATATCAGTATACCATATTCCATGTACATGACATGTTGTGCAGGTGCATGTATACTTAATGCAGCTGCACATCTATCCTAGACTAGTTAGTTACCGTATTTTACTGGTTGTAAGTCGACCCTGGTCATAGGTCGACCCCGTATCCGGAGGTCTCAATTCTGCGTTTTTTAACGTTTTCACCCAACGAAGCACTACTAACTACTCTCTGCTACTAACACATCAACAAATCATGTAAACATTCATTATTGGACGGTATAACCTCCCAATCCTTGAAAAAGGCCGATAAACTGGCAAAAATGTGTACACATCATGCACTCGTGCATGCAGTGTCGGTCATTTTTGTAAGATACTGATAGTTCCCGGTTTTAAGTCGAATCCCGGTTGTAAGTCGACCCCCACACTTTCTCCTTCTATTTTAGTCGTAAAAGGTCGACTTACAACCGGAAAACTTACAACAGGAAAAATACGCTAGTACCTTCTCAGTAGTCTGCTTGATGTAGAACGTCTTTGGTGAAATCCTTGTGAAACGAGGATCGGTGATCCGGAGCATTTCCAGCTCACGGATGTGGCAGTTCCTGTTTGAAGAAAGAATGAGTAAAGATGAAAAAGACAAACAGTGATCTCAAGTCCAAAAAAGGGGTTGGTTTATCATTATTATCTATTTACACAGTGACTTCATGAACTGCCCTGTAAGTTTACAGTCATGTAGATACACTGTCACTGTCACTGTAGATACACTGTCACTGTAGATACACTGTCACTGTGCATGTTGATACACTGTGCATGTTGATACACTGTGCATGTTGATACACTGTGCATGTTGAACTTTCCAGACAGCAACAACTGTTGGACTGTGTACATAAAACCATAGTGTTCACACATGAATAACTACAGTGTGCATACATGAATAACCACTGATGTATATACATAACCAATGGTGTACATGAGCTCAACGGAATGGCAAGCAGATCCCAGTCTACAGCAAACAGCACACCACAGCGGTCATGGCTGAGGGTGACTAACCGAAAACCAAGGTCCATCTTGAATGATTCATACTGTTGAGCGAGCTCCAGACCACAAGCTTGAGCAAGACGATTCAGGACATTGCATGTCTCACGGTCTGTGGACTTCGACTTCATCACCATTGGAATGGTTCTTGTTTCACCACCTAAAGTGATTGGAGTTGAATAGCAGTGAGAAAAACAAACTTATGGTAACAGTTATACTATGGACCATGGTCCAGCAATTCTAGTACACTGGCTGTCACGGGTCACGGGTGTTTCGCAGTGGCCACTCGTCAAGATGGCGGCAAATCCGAGAGTGCAAACATTTCGACTCTGCCTATGTGCGCGGCGGATGCGAATCTCGCACGTGCAGATTCAGGCATGCAAAATCTAGCCTTCAGCAGCTCTGGGTAGAGCAAGTGTGTAGGAACGACCTTTTCGGAGAGAGAATGTGGCTCTTTTCATCCCAACACTTTACTCGCCACGCTCTCCCTCCCAGCTTTTTGATACAAGTATCTGCTACTGAGTAAAAGTCTCCATCTCCACAGTAGGCCAGGCAACATCGCAACGTTGAAATACTTTGCTCTCTTGGTTTTTGGGTCCTTTGAGGTGTTGATGTGGTTGTTGTGTCAAACTCGAAGTGACAAACTTGAGACCCCCGCGCCACAAAAAACTAAGGCGAGCCACAAAGTTTCGTTTGGCTGTTCAATGAAAGGACATGGAAGCAGGGATAAAAACTATCGTGGCTGCCGGCAAAACTCCTAGTAATGTAAGAAACAGGGGTGCGACTTTGGTAATTCCAAGGAGATTGTACGCGGGGCCATTCCACAACGACGACGAAACTACGAGCTCAAAAACACTCCGATTTTCAAACAAACGACGCAAGAAAGAAGACATGGCCGCAGTTGTTCCCGTGTGGCCTTCAAAACATCTAATTTCACTTCGACAGCAGCGGCTGGTTCAGGGCAAATCCAGGCCCAAATCGACAGCGTCGTACCGTTCAGTTTCACCCAAAACACGAGGAAATGTACGGTAGATCCAAATGCGTACGCATTTTGCGTACGGGGACGATTGGCCAGAGTTCATGCACTACAAACACCCGTGCTGTGGCAACTAAGAGGTTTTGTGTGAGAGAGAGAACTGAACTGGAAAATACTGAGCATACAGTACCGTACTGTTCTATGTAAACTGATCAGGCATGTCAAGTTTGCGCCCAGTATCAGCTCATAATATCAGTGTTGGCATGTTTTTGACTCACGCAATATACAGTCAACTTCGCTTATAACGACACTCGGCGGGGCATCAGAAAAGTGTCCTTATTCGCGAAGTGTCGTTATACCCGAAGTCTCATGATATGTGTCACAGTTGGATGGGACTTTGCTCTGGGCGTGAAAATTGTGTCGTTATTCGCGAATTGTCGTTATATCCGCAGTCGTTATTAGCGAAGTTGACTGTATCAGTGTTGGCATGTTTTTGACTCACGCGATATATCAGTGTTGGCATGTGTTTGACTCACGCGATATATCAGTGTTGGCATGTGTTTGACTCACGCGATATATCAGTGTTGGCATGTGTTTGACTCACGCGATATATCAGATTTCATTGCGCAACACTGTCAAATACATAGACAAGTGTCATAATAATTTTAAGATGATCACAAAACCGCATATTGCTATCACAAGCTACAAAGCCCATGACACCCAGGATGAGGGAGAGAGACAGAGAGGAGGAGAAGGAGGAGAAGGAGGAGGCACTACATACCATTGTTCTGAACGGAGATATCGAATGCAATATGTCCAACAATCTTGTTCAGCTGTGATTTGGTCATGTCGGACAGAATGCTAGTACGGGAATCCACCTACCACCATGGGTACACAAACACACACACACACACAACAGCAGCAGCAGCAGCAGCAGCAGCAGCAGCAGCAGCAGCAGCAGCAGCAGCAGCAGCAACAACAACAACAACAACAACAACAACAACAACAACAACAACAACAACAACAACAACAACAACAACAACAACAACAACAACAACAACAACAACAACAACAACAACAACAAGACTGAGTTAGACAGGTTACTGTGTTCAGGCCGGTGTACTAGGAACACACTCTGAAGTTGGCCCTGGGACCGTGCGCTACGAGTGTCTTGCATATTTTGACCTTACACCATCTATACCAACTTTAAATTTCTAGTTGGAGGCAAGAAGGCAATTATTGCAAAAACACAACCAATCCACAACCAAGGGACAACGATGCATTTTGACAGGAAAGTTCTTTTTTCTCTCCAGAAATCACCGGTGACTACTTCTGGTAGATGAGTAGGGAGAATGAATGAAGCAGCTCATGGTAGCAGGAGATGCAGCTACTACAGGTGTCAAAGCAGCAGCAGCAGCAGCAGCAAGGCGGGAGACAGTCAAATGGCGAGAAGAACAGCACCATTGCTCCTCTTCGTAGTGTGTGAGTCTGCAGTCTGAAGTTTGTTTCCTATTTTTTCCGCTTGGCCAGATGTTCTTGGCACCATTTCGCTAGCTCCCGCCTTGCTGCTGCTTGGACACCTGTCACTTAGTAGCTTCATTTTCTGCTACCATGAGCTGCCCGTCACTTGTAGCCTCATCTTCTGCTACCATGAGTTGCTTGATTCATTCTCTCTACTCAGTCACTGGTGAATTCTGGAGAAAAAGGTTTCTGTTAAAATGAATCAGCGTCCGTTCGTTGTAGATTGGTTGTGTTTCTTTCAATAATATACCAACAGTCATGTACACGCATACACATAGTGCATTCATGTACACGCATACACATAGTGACTACTAGTGACAAGTGACTAGTGACTACTATGTGTACTTTATGCACAGTACTGCCAGGCGCCGAAGAACGGAGCGCCGAAGAACGGAGCGCCGAAGAACGGGGCGCCGAAGAACGGGGCGCCGAAGAACAGAGCGCCGAAGAACGGAGCGCCGAAGAACGGAGCGCCGAAGAACGGAGCGCCGAAGAACGGAGCGCCGAAGAACGGAGCGCCGAAGAACGGAGCGCCGAAGAACGAGCGCCGAAGAACGGAGCGCCGAAGAACGGAGCGCCGAAGAACGGAGCGCCGAAGAACGGAGCGCCGAAGAACAACCTGGCTAGAATTTTTACTAAGCATGCACAGCATACCAATGTATATACTGTGACTCAACTGCCAGTGTGCATAGACTGTAGTACATGAACATAGACTGTAGTACATGAACACAGGCTACGAGGCTGACCCCCAATTCTTCGGCAACCAAACAGTACTGTATACATGTAAGTAGAGATGGGAGAAGTGTAAAACGGTTACAACAGCTTTGTTACTTAGTACAGTCAAACCTGTCTAAGGTGACCAGTCAAGGGACGAGAAAAACAAACCTGTCTAAGGTGACCAGTCAAGGGACGAGAAAAACAAACCTGTCTAAGGACGGTGACCAGTCAAGGGACGAGAAAAACAAACCTGTCTAAGGTGACCAGTCAAGGGACGAGAAAAACAAACCTGTCTAAGGTGACCAGTCAAGGGACGAGAAAAACAAACCTGTCTAAGGTGACCAGTCAAGGGACGAGAAAAAGTGGTCACCTTGGCCAGGTGGTCTTCTTATCCAGGTTCAGTGGGTCATGTGAACAATCATATTCACTATAGACATGTGCATGAAAATGCAATTAATTATATTATTTTGATCAGTGCATCACACTGCAAACACCTATGCTACTATGCCGTCCGCAGATTGAGTATGCTACTATCGATATTATAATGACTCATGTCCCTGGGGGCCTCAGACCTGTCAAGTGTCGTGCATACACCATGCACATCTACACTTTCTGCGCTGATCTGTACATGTACCATGATGTGGTGTACAGTGCAATGTGTGCATGTACATCTGCCATGATGTGGTGCACAGTGCATTGTGTGCATGTACATCTAGTCATGATGTGGTGCACAGTGTAATGTGTGCATGTACATGTACCATGATGTAGTGCACACAGTGTAATGTGTGCACTACATCTGCCATGTACTAGTAGGTAGTAGGGTGCAACGCGGTCGCGGCTGGGTGATCGTTGGTTGCGTTGAGTGAGGGGTCGCCTTATCCGAGCTGTTTTGAACGCGTCCGTGACAAGGAAAAGTGGTCGCCAAGGTCGAGTGGTCACCATATCTGATTTTTCGCCATTATCTGAGTGGTCGCCATGGTCGAGTGGTCACCATATCCGAGTGGTGGTCATTACAGGTTTTTCTGCACTTACAGTTGTCTGCTTGACTTCAATGAGTTCTCCCAGATCTGATACAGCTTCACGGAAGAACTCTTCAGTTAGGTGCGACTTCCTGAAGCCAAGATCATTGCGATTCCGACCAAGCTTATCATGTGCAGAGGCAAACTGTCCACTGGCAACTGCTGCTAATGTTGACAGTTCAAGTCCCAGCATTGATCCAGCAAGTATTTCAGCAAGTCGATATCTACCATCCTAGAACACACGACAAGTATTGAAACAAATCCAGGATCAGAATGTCAGCTCATTACAAGCATCATGCCATTAGTCTCAGGCAACCACGATGTAGCCAGAACATAACCATGGTGACCAGCATATAGCCATGGTACCCATCATGTAACCATGGCAACCAGCGCATGGCCAAGATAAGCAGGAAGTAGCCATGGCAACCAGGATACAAACATGGTAACCATAGTAATCAGCCTGAGATAGCCAGAACACATACCCATAGTAACCAGCCTGAGATAGCCAGAACACATACCCATAGTAACCAGCCTGAGATAGCCAGAACACATACCCATAGTAACCAGCCTGAGATAGCCAGAACACATACCCACAGTAATCAGCCTGAGATAGCCGTGGTCATCAGCATGCAGCTACTAGCAGATACTGCCTATTACCGCACTTACAGTTCCTGTGCAGTGCATCAGCTGCAGACATTCTCTTTGAGTTGGCAGTAGAGAGCCTTTCTCTGTCGTGTGCAATTCTAGAGAAGGCATTGTGACACCAGCATAGATACCTGCTTCCTCTACTCCATCACCACTGTCTTGTATCCGGAATTCAACTGACACGCAAGAACAAGAATGAGAGTAACAGAAATGATCACCAGCCACCAGCCACCACCACCGCCACCACCACCACCAGCAGCAGCAGCAGCAGCAGGACCCATACTTACTACGGATATTCCGGTATAAGGTACTCTACTTGCAGTGCATACACCACATGCATGTTCCTCAGCCACCATGCATGTGCACATACACAGGGGCGTAGCCCGTGCATCTGTGGTGTGGTGACACCATGTATCAGACTGTGTGCATCTGTGGTGTGGTGTTACCATGTATCAGACTGTGTGCATCTGTGGTGTGGTGTTACCATGTATCAGACTGTGTACATCTGTGGTGTGGTGTTACCATGTATCAGACTGTGTGCATCTGTGGTGTGGTGTTACCATGTATCAGACTGTGTGCATCTGTGGTGTGGTGTTACCATGTATCAGACTGTGTGCATCTGTGGTGTGGTGTTACCATGTATCAGACTGTGTGCATCTGTGGTGTGGTGTTACCATGTATCAGACTGTGTGCATCTGTGGTGTGGTGTTACCATGTATCAGACTGTGTACATCTGTGGTGTGGTGTTACCATGTATCAGACTGTGTGCATCTGTGGTGTGGTGTTACCATGTATCAGACTGTGTGCATCTGTGGTGTGGTGTTACCATGTATCAGACTGTGTGCATCTGTGGTGTGGTGTTACCATGTATCAGACTGTGTGCATCTGTGGTGTGGTGACACCATGTATCAGACTGTGTGCATCTGTGGTGTGGTGTTACCATGTATCAGCCTGTGTGCATCTGTGGTGTGGTGTTACCATGTATCAGACTGTGTGCATCTGTGGTGTGGTGTTACCATGTATCAGACTGTGTGCATCTGTGGTGTGGTGACACCATGTATCAGACTGTGTGCATCTGTGGTGTGGTGTTACCATGTATCAGCCTGTGTGCATCTGTGGTGTGGTGTTACCATGTATCAGACTGTGTGCATCTGTGGTGTGGTGACACCATGTATCAGACTGTGTGCATCTGTGGTGTGGTGTTACCATGTATCAGCCTGTGTGCATCTGTGGTGTGGTGTTACCATGTATCAGACTGTGTGCATCTGTGGTGTGGTGTTACCATGTATCAGCCTGTGTGCATCTGTGGTGTGGTGTTACCATGTATCAGACTGTGTGCATCTGTGGTGTGGTGTTACCATGTATCAGACTGTGTGCATCTGTGGTGTGGTGTTACCATGTATCAGACTGTGTGCATCTGTAGTGTGGTGTTACCATGTATCAGACTGTGTGCATCTGTGGTGTGGTGACCATGTACAGTGCGGATCGGCTACATGGTTGTCGGCTATAGTAATATACCTCTTATAGTGATCGTATTCTCAATTTCGTAAACCACCCCTTTCTATACATATCGGATCGGCTATAGTAATATATCAGCTACAATGATACGATTTCTTTGTCAAAATGATTTTATTCCATACATTTTTCATCGGCTATAGTAATGATCATAAACAAAATTATACATCGTACATGGCGAGATCTGATCGCGGCAGTCAGGAAGCGCTGGTACGACTATGATATCCCTCGGAGGAAATTCGAAATGTTTGGCGTTGGCTGTGCTTGTTGTTCCGGGGCATCCTCGAGCGAGAGCGGAGGCAGTAATGAGTACCAGCGCTCAAGCGCTACCGTGGTCTCCGCCGAGATGTTGGAGAAGGCATTCAGGTAACAGCGAAGACGATGAAGGACGCGGAGAAGCTTCTCCGTGACATACGACATCACGCGTCGATCGACCTGTCACTTGCAACGGTTTCAGCGGTGATGAGTCGAGCGATGGCGACCCAGATTGAGACTCTACTCCCACTAATCGATCCTGTAGATTTTGTTGATATGTCGATTGAATGTGTTGAAGTGTTTCTCTTCCAAAAGAACACATTTGTTGAGCACAGCAACTCCTTGAAAACTCATGTCAAAAAGTCACGAAGTTTTTGTTTCCGCAGGAAGTAGCTCTGCACTGCGCGTACTGCACAGTCACATGCAAAGCACACTTCTGCACGCTGCACTGATTCGAATGACACCATACACGCATGTGTCAGGCATACCTAAGTATGCATATCGCCTGTAGTAATTTATCGCCTATAGTGATATTTTCACGAAAATCAAACACCAACGCTATAGCCGATCCGTACTGTACCAGACTATATGCATCTGTGGTGTGGTGTTACCATGTATCAGACTGTGCATCTGTGGTGTGGTGTTACCATGCAGGGGCGTGCTCGGCCCCCCAACTAGGGGGGTGCACGGGAGCCGAGGGGACCCCCCCCGGCAATTTTCTGCAATTTGTTTGCAACCTTTCTTGAATTTTAGAGCATATTTGCATACATTACAATTGCAATTACCCAGATTGAAAATTTTTGGGGGGTGCACGTGCCCCCGTGCCCATCGCCGAGCACGCGCCTGCCATGCATCAGACTGTGCATCTGTGGTGTGGTGACACCATGTATCAGCCTGTGTGCATCTGTGGTGTGGTGTCATCATGTATCAGACTGTGTGCATCAGTGGTGTGGTGACCATGTATCAAACTGTGTGCATCTGTGGTGTGGTGTTACCATGTATCAGACTGTGTGCATCTGTGGTGTGGTGACTATGTACCATCGGCAACCTCATAGCTCCCATTTCTCCCATTTTGCCTATTTTGACTATTTCTCCCATTTTTGACTATGTAATGTAGTACTGTCGTGGACATGGAAATCGGTCGCACGTCTAGCGGCCCCAGGGCGCTGGACATGCAGCCGTGGGTAAGCAGTACACACACGCTGCGGCGTGCGCGCTGGTCGCATCGGATCAACGTGCACTGCATGCAACGTTCTGTCCGCGCTGAGTGAGGGCGCCGGCCCCGGTCAATAGACTGGATTTCCATGTCCACGAAAGTACGTACAGTGACCATGGTGACAGGACTATGCTGACTATGCGCGGGGCTACGCGCCTGATACATACATCTCCCTACTACTGAAATAGAGATTAGAGTATCTCCCTTCCTCGGAGATAGAGTATCACCCTTCCTCTTTACTTATCTCCCCCCCCCCCCTCCCCTCATCCTTCCCTTGGCCGGCCTGGTATTATGTAGCATAGCATAGTAATAATTATTATAGCTTTCTCAACATAGTCAAAATATACAATGCACTCGCTACACACCACACTAACACCTCAGTACAGTATGGTGTATGCAGCACTATGTTGTCTTTAAGTACCTTTATCTGAGCCGTATTCGGGCAGGTAGACGGAATGGTCCGATTTCAGTTGCTCTTGATACGCAGCAATGTCGCTACTTGTTGCTGTCTCCACGAGAGTATTGTTGGAGATGAACTCTACCACCTTTCCCGTGTTTTGCCCGGTAGCTACAAACAAACTTGCAAGGGCGTTGCTCGTGTTCATCTGCACCAGTGGACAACCAGCGTTGGCTTCACCTTCTTGAAATTGACGCCTCGCCGCAAGCAACTTTTCTGAACTCACCTATAGTGTAAGCAGGCATGCACACATCCACGTACACATCCATGTACACATCCACGTACACACACACACACATACACGTACACAAACACACAGGTACACACACACCCACACCCAGGTACCATTGGACCATTGGACGCCCATCGCCGGAGGCGATGATAGCGATGCTACAGCAAAAGCCATAGCAGCTTGTGCTGGGATTGCACCATTCAACAGATTACAAGGCTGAAGAATTGACCGCCACCATTCAGCCTGGTCTACACCACACAGCTATTAAAAGTGGCTTTTTCTGGCCAGTGACTCCCTACTTTTGGTCCTTTCATTTTTTTCTACACACACATCACACCACATACTCCGGCATGCACTGGCTGTTGGTAACCACCCAGGAGAATGAAAGAAAAGTCAGGAGGAGTCTGAGAAAGAGAAAAAAGACGTGTGTGACCATAATCGTTGGGAATCGAACCCACAACCTATCGATTGGAAATCGCTGCACATACCACTGCACCATATGGGACACACACACCCAGGTACACATACACACATGCACACACACACACACACACACACACACACACACACACACACACACACACACACACACACACACACACACACCATTGGACCATTGGACGCCCATCGCCAAAGGCGATGATAGCGATGCTACAGCAGAAGCCATAGCAGCTTGTGCTGGGATTGCACCATTCAACAGCTTGCAAGGCTGAAGAATTGACCGCCACTATTCAGCCTGGTCTACACCACACAGCTATGAAGTGGCTTTTTCTGGCCAGTGAATCCCTACTTTTTTGTCTTTTTCATTTTTCAGACACACACACACACACACATACACACACACACACACACACACACACACACACACACACACTCACACACGTACACACACCCAGGTACACACGTACACGCAAACACACACACATATACATATGTACATGCACACAGATACACAAGCACGTGCACATGTACACAGAAACACTCTACTATGTAGAACTGCCACAAAACGCTCGCGTCACTCCCAGAAGCGGGAGACAACAGCGAATAAGGAGAAAAAAACAAGGGGAATGGTTGAGGTGAAAGGAGACCGATTTACCCTCCTTCCTCCCCCCCCACACACACACACATTAACAGCAGCAGCAACAGCACAAGCAGCAACAGCACAAGCAGCAACAGCACAAGCAGCAACAGCACAAGCAGCAACAGCAAAGGCAGCGGCAGCAGTAGCCGTAGCAGCACGAGCAACAACAGTAGCAGCAGCAGTGAATGGTAGCCTACCTTCAGAACATCGGCAAGAACAGATTCGGGGATAAAGCACTCGGCATGAACTGTCATACCACGCGGTCGAATGATATTGACAAACCCTGCATGCTGAGAGCCACTTCTGAACCCTTCAAGATAGTACTGGTCTATCTGGACGTGGGGAAGGTCTCTCTGGATGCTGTGAAGAATGTAGCTGCAAATGCACACACACATGTTCAGAGCAAACACACACACACACCACACACAAGAACTCACCTATAGTGTAAGCAGGCATGAACGAAACTGTGCCTTTAGTGACTTTTTGCATACAAATCCCCCTATAGTAGGGCACAGTCACCCACTTCTGGTGGAAGTGCGCGAGTTTGATCGGGAATAAAGGAGGAACCGATAAGGAATTCCAAGACCGAGAAAATGAGCTATCGACGGTGAGAATCGGCCAAATAGAACCCCTATTTTACTTTTTTGAAGACATCAAGGCCGGCCGTGTGTCCAACGAAACATGGCAGCCGTGCGCATATCTGCAAGTGCAACAAGAAGGGACCGGGGGGACAGCAAGCGTTCCAAGTGAAGAGTTAACCTTCGTGTTGACTCAAGCTAAGGACTCAGGCCAGTCAGGGATCATACCAGTCACTTGTCATCATGGTCATGACTAAGGAATTCATTTGTGGCCAGGAAACCCAACACTCGCAGGTTGAAAGCTGCTAGGCCAAACAGAAAAGACTGTGCCGAGTCGCGATCAGGAAACGCTGAGTTCTACTGACAACATATAGGTTAGCTAGGTGCGGAAAATTCTTGTATATGCCAGGACTCAAGTTCACCAGCACCTCACGGACATATCTTGGTCAACACGCACCAGCGGATTGAGAAAAATGACCAATATGGCCTGGAGAAAGGACGTCTTCTCCGCGTGTCCTTCTTAACATCAAACAACAAGATTCGCTTCGGCACTGGCCCTTCGCTGTACAGACTAGACCAGGAAGTCGTAAAATACCGGTATATCACGACTAGACCGAACATGGCTGTACATCGATCAGCATGAGCTCGGCTGCGTAGCCACTATGACTGCACAAACTCTGGCCTAGCGACCGTCGCCATCTTTTTCAAAATGGTGGTGGACGCTTTTCAATTTTGTATGATCGTGGTGAGCCCTGAACTTACAGCATAGCCAGCACAGCCTTTCTGTTCTACTGGCTTTCAACTCATGATGTAGTCAACTCATGATGTAGTTCAGAGTTTTTTTTTTAAACCTTCTAAGGCCACACATGTAGGAACATGAACAGGTTGTAAGAATGTTCAGTAAGGCATGTATTGACTGATGTATTGAATGATGTACTGGTATTTATACTGAGCTTGTATACAAACTCCCATCTCTCCCCACACAACACTCCAGACTTGTATTTTGCATATAACAGGTACTTCGATGACGAGAATATAAACTGGTATATAAACGGGTATATAAACTGGTATATAAACCCCTTTTTTTAGGATCACACTAGTGATCCGCAGTCCGCCTTGATGGTTTTTCGACATGCACGACGGTCCCAACTTCAGGATCTCTTTCCCGTCAACGATGAAGAATACAACGTCGTCCTTTTTGATGGAGGCTTACATTTCGCCTCCACAAAGACAAAGCGCAACATCAGATAGAACCATTCGTAATAGGTAAGTTTTACTGCGTCGTTGCCATTGGTGTCATCGATGTCGCTGAAATAATCGTGTAACAGGTGCCTTGTCCTGCACCTGACGTTAGAGGCTGTCCTTCTTTCGCTGTTTTGGCACTCCGTCTGTCAAGCGCAGCACTCAACATGTGCGGCTGAAGAGCCCCCCGTGCCGCTACTTTGAGACAATTCTTGGAGAAAGGCGAGCCCTCCTGCGTTTTTGCATCGACATAGAATGCAGATAGCAGGGGCGACGGAACTTCACTACTGACGGTTTTCCAATCGATGTTCTCCTTTCCGCGTCCCTCGCAGAGCGGACGGAACATGCGCAGCCATAATCCATGGCACTGCCAGTGTTCTTGGAAACTGCTGCTTGAATAATGGCATCGTGATTCGTGGTCGTCCTCAGAAGAACCAAAGAAACGTTTGGGAGTCGATTCAACAGGCTCGTGCTGATTCATTTTACTCTCACTTTGGAAAGGAGACGAACTCTATGTCTCTAATGAGCAAACGGTTCTTTTACAGAGCCCGCGGTGAGATCTGCGCGCGGTAACGGTCACTAGCACTGTGAGGTTCAAACTAACTTACTTGGCGCATAGCTGTTACTTCCGATGTAACTAGTACTAAACTGAAGTCACAAAGAGTGTGTGATGGTACTGCACTGCATGCACTGCACAGAGTCAGTGCCAGTGGTGGTCTTGTACTTGCTCCGCACAGGTTGGTGAAAGGAACTTCGGACTCGTCGAGCCATGGTTGTGGGTTGGAATTCCAATCTCTACCTTTGTGGGGGAGAGGGGAGTTTGTATATCAGCTCAGTATAAGCATAATATAACCTACTCAGTTGATTATTACAGGGTGCGACAGAGCTCTCGGCCATTGAAGAAAATGTTGAGTCACCTCCACCATTACATTGTAATGGTGGAGGTGACTCAACATTTTCTTCAATGGCCGAGAGCTCTGTCGCACCCTGTAATATGATATGTGCGCCGTTAGCGTCAGAGCAAGAAGAGAGAGGGACAAGACGAGTCAAGGGACAATCCGGAGGACGCAATACCATACGACCAACTGTTTGTTTCTACCAGCGTTATTGTACCGTCGACACGGCTCTGACGACGATATACTGGGCGAATGCCGCGGGGCCTCCCAGCGTGTCAGCGGCAGTGGGTGATGGGCAGATAACAAGGTAGCTTGCGGACAACATCGGCGGCATGAAGCCTAGTGACTGCCAAGCGTCTTGGCGCGACGGGCGAGCAGTACAGTGTCATGCCCCAGGGGCTGCTGTGGCTGTCGACGTCGGCGGGTCGTGAGGTGCGTTCGCAGGCCTTCATGGCGCTCGGACAACTGCAATACTAGTACACGGACTCTCACTAGCTACATAGTACTCTGATTCTGGCACGTTATTTCTGCATTGAATAGTGATTGATTTTCCGCGCCGAATTTCCGACGCTGCATGCATGTCCAATGCGCGTCAACAGTACTTCACACTTTCCTTTTCCCGCGTTATCACCTCAGCTATGCCAGTTTGTATGTGGAAACCCCCTATATAATAGCAGTTTGGTCTATATATTTAATCATTCAACATCTACCTTCACTGATGAGCTATGTATTAGCGAAACAGCTGTCTGAAGGAGTTTATCAATATCGTCTACGGAAGTGTCCTCGCAATGGTGATGGTTGTGTGCAGGAGGGTCTAGTCGGCTAAAGAGCGCAGTGTAATGGTGGAGGTGACTCAACATTTTCAGTTGATTATGGGAAATATAAACCAATATACAAACCTCGGCTTCGCCTCGGTTTGTATACAGGTTTATATTTCCCATATAATCAACTGGTTAGGTTATTTCAGGGTTATAATAATATTACTATATACATGTATTGACTGATGTATTGACTGATGTATTGACTGATGTATTGAATGGAATGTATTGAATGTGTGCATGGCTGATACTTACAAGAATATCTCATCAGCTGCTGTCGCTGCCACACTCTGCTCCAAAGCATTACTGCAATCGAACGCCAACGTGAAATGAAGACCATGGCCGGCGATTCGAACATCACACTCCACCATAGTCACGCCATCTGCTGGGCAGTTGTCATGGATACGTTGTTTGTTAGCCTGCACCCAGTCGCGTACAGTTATGCAGTCGTCAAGACAACGCATGACCAGGACAGGCGAGCGGTGCACTACATCAGCTTCCACCCTACATCTGACTCCTCCAGATCGACTCAAAGCCAAAGCACCACGAGAGGCAGAAGCTGTTAGGGCCCCTTCAGTAGTTGCATATGGGACCAATGTATAGCCATTCACATATTTACCACGTACCAGCAGTGGTCCACTAACCCCGATGGACATACGCGTAAGGCCGAATACATTCTCACTCATCATGCTTTCTGGTCTCCCTGCCGCCTGTCTAACGTCACTGATATTGCTGCTGCCATTACGAGCATGAGCTGTATCTCTGCACCACCACTGACCACTATTCGTCAGCTCACTCGAACAATAACGCGAAACCAACGCACGACGTCGATCGAAAAGTTTCTCATTGAAACGCTCGCCCGTTGGCTCGAGTTGACTGCGTTCGTCGGGGTCATTGGCCTTCGCGCCGACAGCCACAGTGGCCATAGATCGCGTATCAATGGATGATGCCAAGTCATGGCTTCTCTCTGTGCCACAAGCACTACCTGCATTCGAATTTAAATTTTCTTTGCGACTCGTTGAGTACGAGCGCTGGCTGATTGAAGCAAAATCACTTCCGCTTGCTCTAGGACTGCACCTGCTACGAGACCGCCCAAGAAACGACACGGCATACTCCAAACTGGGTCTGGGATAAGAGGTAGATCTACTGGCTAAACTAATACTTCTGCATGTATGTTGTTGCATAGAACTAGCGGGCTGGCCGGCACGCAGCGCGTATCGGAAACTCTGCATTGCTGAATGAGTGACTTTAGCTTCTATTCGAGTGAGAGTGAAAGACAGCAGTAGTAGGTCCTGCTTGGACAGGACTCCTAGAGCGTCACGCGAGCAAACGTGCAACACCTATTAAAGTCCTTACCAACACCGGCAGCGATAAACCGAGAAGTCTGAGACCATAGAGATCATCCCTATCCGAGTATCTCTCAGGTTTTGTTGAGGCAGAAGAACTTCAAGAAGGCAGTCCAATGATCCACTCACACAAATGGAAAATTGATTACAGGCTCGAAAAATCAACAGTAGTACAGTGGTGACATTTGCACAAAGTCTGGCCAACAAGATTCCAGAAAATCCTACTCACTGATTTCACACCCGTGCCGGCGGTAGACTCGGCAAGCAACCGTCCGTCCAGATGCGAAACTGACTTCAGCGGACTGGAATAGGTCAAGTCATTCTGCTCAAGAAGACCCAGAATATAAACAACACTTGGACAGTGTCCACAGTACAGGCTCAGCTAGTGAGCTGAGTGCCTGCACGATTTATAGCGACTGTCTGTTTGTGTGTGCCTTTATACAATAACACCAATCAGATCATCATGACACGTCTTCCTTGCCCTGGCCTTGCCCTTGGCCTTGGCTTGGGCTGGTGGCCGGCTAGGCTTGGTGCATCTGGTACTCAGACTCAGAGTACAATGGTGAGAGCTCAGCTGATCAGGTGGGAACTGTAGATCTACATGTACCATGCATATGGCCATGCACCATGGGGTCAGCTATCACTATCAGTATCCTGGTATCAGGAGCTGAATCATGATTGAATGGTAAAACCGCGGTCTCATCCGACGACATGTCGACACACTGACATCGACTACTAGTCAGTAGTGACCTAGTGTACTGTACATATCTGTACCCCGTATACGCGTAGCGTAGGCTGTGTGTAGATCTACGTGTGGCTACAACACACTTCAGTAGATAGAACGACGTAAATCTACGTAGTGATCCGTTTGCAGTGTTGTCTACTGACAGACTGTAACTCTGTCGAGATTCGTTTTATGGTATTGAGCACTATTTGCAGCAAGGACTTCAGACACTTTGTCAATATTGTTCGTGATGTCATAGAGGAGAAGGTTATGTAACCAGATAATCACAATAACAATGTAAAGGATGTGGAGTACGTCGTTACGTGGCGGCTTGAGATCTTCATTCTTCCTCTGCAACTAGTGACGTGTCGTCGGACTGTCACCACACGGCACACGTGCACAAGGACTTTGGCTTGTAATGCCTATGCCTATGGGCTTGCTTGGGCTTGGCTTGGCCATTGGGTACAATACTCAACATACCGCAGTGATTGAATCAGTTCACACTACTTAAAGTTACTTAGACACCCATTGACATGGACAGTCTGTCCCAGATAATCGGATCCCCTCTACTCTACGCTATACTCTAGCCCAGTCATAGGCCTCAGACTCCGACTCATGCTGATGAAATGGGTTTTATGACTCTATGAGGTGTTTGGAACTGTTTTCCATACCCCTTGGTCCTAAATTGCATAATTATGGCATTCAATTGACCGTAACTTTGGTGTCTCTCAATGGATTTGAGCGAAATTGGCACCACACACTCCTGTCACTATGCTGGCCCTCTGGACATGATTTAACAAGTTCTTGCGCCTCACTGACAGGTTTTACAGGCCGGAAAAACTCAAAATTCCGGCATAGTGCCACGGTTGGCGAGCCACCCAGGAGCCAAACAAATACATTTACAATTTTTTTCACATTTTCTAGCCAAGTCTGTCCGTGCGCAGGATCCAAACCTAACAAAACGTCCAGAAGCAGCCATGGGTGGAGGGATAGGGCCCTTCAACGTGGCCCTGGAACCTGTCACAACGGCAGGAGTGGGCGTTCTGTCACAGACTCCCACAGACCTACAGTGTAAGTCAATTTTTGAATTTTTTTAGGTTCAGGGCGTGCTACGAGGTCGTACCTTTGATACAACATCCAGTGCTGGGACCTCCACAGCAAGCCATTTCCACAGCGCTTCAAACCGAATCCAGGACACCCTCCAAAATCGGCAAAGACTACCAGTACCACTCACGTTCCACTACTGCCTAGCACTGAATCCTATAATTAGATACCCTACCTGACTTCTTGACACGACTCAAACTTGCCAAAGTCACTAAATCAACGTCAACTACATGATTGTACAATAATCAAGCCACATATCTGCAACGTCACGAGGGTGCTGGCAAAAGCCCTGCTGCACGGCGGCCCAATACGTGGTTTTTTAACGTGATTTTTTGGACTTTGTTGGACTTGGAGCAAAATTCTGCACACTTTTGCGTCTTTCCATGATACGACAAGTTGCGCACGGTCTGCTCACATTCAAATACAGTGCTGCCAACAAAGGACAGCGTGCAACAAAAAAATCTTTCCTTGCAAGGGCACATTTTAGGCCATAACTCTTGAACGGCTGGTCAGATCGGGACACAATTTTCAGAGAATTTGCAGCTATTCATGCTCTTTCAACTGACGTAGCACTCAATATGAATTTACAAATTCGATTTTTCAGCGAATTTTGGGTAGTCTGCCACCTTAATACATGTAAGTCAACTTCGCTAATAACGACTGCGGATATAACGACAATTCGCGAATAACGACAGAATTTCCATGCCCAGAGCAAAGTCCCATCTAACTGTAGTACATATCATGAGACTTCGGGTATAAGGACACTTCGCGAATAAGGACACTTTTCTGATGCCCCGCCGAGTGTCGTTATACGCAAAGTTGACTGTATGTAGGAATAATCCTAATTTCAAGCCGATAGGCCAATTTTCCTGGTGAAACTAGCACCTACTCCACTTTTATGTATATGTATCTATGTCATTCGGATCTTCCCAAGTTGTACAATGTACTGTTGAGATACCGAATTCAAATAAATCAATACCATACCATACCATACCAACTTCCGCTGTAGCGGTAAAAGCGGTAAAAGCACTAGATTTGCCCCACCTGTGGCAGTGCTCCTACATAGTACATGTAAATCAATCACAGGCATCTACTGAGTATTCATGGTATCCATGTAGATGTACATGTACGTATTGAACATACATACATACATTCTATAATAATTATTATTATTACTTTCCCTGCCAGTTCTGTCATCATCTGCATCCATTACAACACTCTGGATAATGCAGAACACTCAAATCCTATTATAGGACCTGTCAAATACATGTAACTGACATGTCCTCTCTAAAACCTGCTGGCACTCTTGAAAACTTCTGAACTGAACCTACTGATACTTCCCTAAAACCTTACAATAATTATAATTTAGGCACACAACTTATCCCGGGCGGAAGCATGGTCATGATCATTGGAAACTTCAAAAAACCCTATCATTATAATTGTATAATTCGCGTGCTAGTTTGTACGTGAAGTGTGTGGGTTACAGTGAGGGCTGCGTCCCACTCGCCTGTGTGGATTCACAGGAAGTGTGAGTTACGAAGTCTGAAGAAAATGTTGAACGGCCTCTGCTGGGATGACGACTACACCATAGCTCAGTGGTTAGAGCATCGCTGGCTACAAGCGAGGGTCCCTGGTTCGAGTCCTGGTGGTGACAGTCAATTTTTCTTCAGACTTTTCCCGTTTGTCTCTTTCCCTCAAACCAGTTAGTATAATTATATGTATAGGATTTGACGGTCTAGCTACTAGTAAAATGTCATGTACATGTACGAGATAACCGGTAGTATGCTCACCTGCTGAGTAGGTCGATCTGCTGACAGTCTGTGCACTGCTACATCGCGTGGCAATACTTTTGTAGTACAATGTACAATCAATGGTACTGTATTAGATAAACCTTGCTTGTTCAAACATGTTTTGGTTGTTTGGTTGTTCAGGAATGGGTTTGCTCCCACACTGGAGCTCGCGCTATTCCGCCGACTTGACTTGACACTTGACTGACTCACGACTGCCATCCAGAGCACGCGAGAAGTCCATGGAACCTTCGACTCGGCAAACCTGCAAGAAAGCTCCACTTCCTGCTCAATACACAGTGTTTGGGGGGAATTCACCCCTCATTTTTCCCCTAGGGGTCCCAGTAAAAAGGCAGTAGCCTGGTGGGACTCCCCTAGTAAAATAATAAAAACTACTACTATTACTACTACTCATCAGTTGAGCTTGAGTAGGCTGAGGAAGATTGTGCCCGAAGAGCACCACTTTTATAGTGCTCTCCAAGCCCAAACATAACCAGGGATACAAACTTACAGAGACGCTCCGTTTCCAGCGCCACAAACACCTCGTGAACACCAGATAGCAGCGTGCGTCAGTGTCGCTCCTGGACGGTGAGAACAGCCGTACAGGACCCTCGGTCATTCACAACGCTGTTACCTCCAAACCAGCTAGTCGCAAGCCCGCGCTGGACACAGCAGTACGAAATAGTGGTTGCGACTTCGAGCTCCAGAGTGGGAGCAACCACTATTTCGTAATGTTTTGGTTGACAGCATGTAAGTTACAAGGTGGAGGACACCTTGTTCGGAAACAGTGACCGTTCTACATTGTACAACCATCCACTGTTGGTAGAGCCCCTGTCGGTTGCGACCATCCACTGTTGGTAGAGCCCCTGTCTTAGCGACCATCCACTGTTGGTAGAGCCCCTGTCGGTTGCGACCATCCACTGTTGGTAGAGCCCCTGTCGGTTGCGACCATCCACTGTTGGTAGAGCCCCTGTCTTAGCGACCATCCACTGTTGGTAGAGCCCCTGTCGGTTGTGACCATCCACTGTTGGTAGAGCCCCTGTCGGTTGCGACCATCTGAACCGTATGGGTGTTAGACTAGGTTCCGACCCTCTCTATTCTACAATTCTAGGAGAGTTGTTTTAGACTTCTCGTACCGTCAGTCTAGACATTGTACTCTTTGTTCGCTCCTGGATGTCTTCTTGATACTCATCAACTTAGTAGCTAGTTTTGTTCTGAATTGTTATTCTTTCTTCTTTTTGAAATTCGGGTATTGAGTATTGAGCCAATACGTGTGAAACAACTTGTTTTGTAGTCAACTAGTCCATCACAATGTCATGCATGAGGAGTACTGTAGGAGTTTAGATTTCGGCTTGTACAATTCGTTCTCGCAAAGCTTCCCCCTTCTTAACTTATCTTTGATATTTTGACCCACCCAAGTTGGGTGGTGTGCTGCTTTGCTGCTTCGAATTGTAGTAAGACCGCTTTGTCAAATCACCTACTGGTCTCGTCATCGTCCAGTGACAATCGACATTCTTTGTTCCGTTGGGACTGTAGCTTGTGCTCGTTTTCGTTGCGCTTGCCTTCCCCTCTTTGGTCTTTCCATAACCTTGAACCTTCCAAGTTGGAAGGCTGTCGGTTAGCGCTACGGAGATGTGTTGAAGCTAGGTGTCAGGACGTCGAATGTCTCAGTACTCTGTCAGTTTTGTGCCTAGTTGTTGCACTTTCTGACTGTATATAGTATCTAGTTACAGTGGTGGAGAGTTACTCTTAACTCGTTTCCATAATGTCCTTTTCCTTTCTACATTTCTTCTTTTTAACTCTTTTTTTCTTTTCCAACTTCTGAC